TCTCAACAACATTTATATCTATTCTGTATTTTTACACCTGCTCTTTTGTTACATACAGCACATACTTTATGTCTGGGGAACAATGCATCACTGAGAAAAACTGCAGCGGTCTGCCCCACAGTGAGCTCTCACGTGATTTTCTTGTAACATTGTGATGACTCAATCCGGTCTTGGATTTCTCTGAGAAGAACAATCAACAAGAACAAAACAATTAAGTCAGTTCTGTTCTTATGCACCCTCACGCCTTGAACCACAGTCTGTGACTCAAAATAAGTCAACCAACAGTGACATTTTAACTCAAAACCTTTTGATTGGAAACAGCTGTTCAAACCACTGAACCGCAGTGTCAAAGAAAGAAAACTGGTGTGCAGACAAAGGGGATGCCGAAGGAAAACAAACAAAACAGAACACGGTAACCTGTGGTGCACAAGTTGGAACAGGAAGTTAAACAGAATCAACTTTTGGAGAAACGCAACCCAATGTCACGCTGCGGTGGTCAAACCAGTGATCAGACCGATCCAACTGCTCCACAGTCAGCCTGAAATATCACTGAAACAGACGCCATCGAGATGGAGTTCAGACTATGATACTCTCTCAGTTGCGTCCGTGAAAATTACAGGACAGAGCAGTTCCAAATGTGTTTTGCTGCCACCTCTGGGGGCGGGGCTGGGACTGCATTGGCCACAGGGGACAGAACAGGGATTGGGTGGGGTCTGACTCACTGTTGGAGGCTGGGGGATGGCCTGCTATGACGAGCCTAACCCTAACCCTAACCCTATGATGATGAGATGGGGGGGGGGTTTTGGATGAAGACAGCTGCTAAACATAAACTGTAAATCAGAGGATGTGAGATTTTTTTTTTTTTCTTTCATTAATGTGCACAAGTGGTTTAGTTGAACTCTGCTGCTCCCCCATTGCTATAATTTACATGTTAGCTGTAAAGTAAGATGTTGTCATGGGGTAACAATAACAATCATCTGTTGCTACTGTGAGTACAGCTAAGAAAATTAAAATGGCAAAACTGCACTGCATAATGATTCTAGAGATAGAAAAGAATAATTGGAAAAACGAGATTAAAAGACAGGATATGGAAGGATAAGCGAAAGGCTGACAGAAAAATGAATTAAAAACCAACGAGTGGAAACCGATTTTATTTCAAGCTCTTTTTGTTCTAGCGAACATTAGGAGAAAACATAATGGATTCTTCCACTTGGCTATAATCACAGCAATGTTTCACACATGTCAGACAGGCAGCAGCAAGAGTGATTGACTAAACACCAAGCAGAACTCCACTCAACTCAAAAATATCAATCCCTAAAATGTTGACATTAAGTAGTTCAATTACACGCAAATTTTACATATCATTTTATGACTTAAGTGCAAAGTAAAGGGTCAGCCGCCTACAGTGTTGGAGTGTGATGGGCATAGCCTCCTTATGGGATCTAGTACAGTTTACTCGATTTGTTTGCATTCAGTTTATCCTACCAATATTTATGTTTTGTTAAATTTTTTGAGTAAATACACTTTTGATTTCATATATTTCATTACATTTGACTTAAAAATATTGCTTCGACTAAACTTTGTTTTAAAGGACCAGTGTCCAGAATCAGGTGGCATCTACCAGTGAAGTTACAGATTGCAACCAAGTGAACACTGCTCGCCTTCCAAGTGTGTAGGAGAACCTATAATGGCCAAAAAACACAAAAGGTCTTATCTAATCTTCTTTTGGATTATACGATCTCGGCTACTGTAAAAAAAGTGGCAATTCAACACCCACTCACTCAGTAGATAAAAACAGCTCATTCTAAAGGTCATACAATGATTCTTTTTTTCAGGTGATTATACACTAATGAAAACATATCTGTGAATATTACATTTTATTACAACAGATCCTCATAAATAATACACACTGGATCTTTAAGAAGCTGCAGCAGTCTCACAAGTTTCTCAAATCTAAGGCCAATGAAGTTGTGTTACTAGCAGTCAGAAATAATAAAACAGTTAGGGTTTGCTTTGAATAAGAGTTAGTTTATCCTTTAAAGAATTATACATCAAGTTGGCTCACTGTGACAGCTCTGATGTTCATCCCAAAACCTATATATATATATATATATATATATATGTACAAAGTGCAGAGGAACAGTTAGGAAGTTAGAGGGCATACAAGAAAAATGAAAGCTCTGTCCTTGGGAAGGATTTTATGTAATGAAAGAATTGTGACAGACTTTCTTCAGCAACACAAAAATGGCAAAGTCGAAGAGAGGCGAGCCCAGTAGAAAAACAATGGAAAGCTGTGTCAGCAGTTCTTCTAGTGACTGAGACAATTCTTATTTTAAGTCTAAAGTTTTGAGAAGATGGAGAGAGTTACAGTAACACGAACTGGTAGAGTTTCAGACTGAGACACCAAGCAATAACAAACGCTACATAACACATTTAGGTGTTTTATAGTTCCCATCACTGACTGGCTGCAATTTTGAAAAGTTATCATGTATCTGATCATAAAGAGGCTCTAGGGGTTTCCTATTTCACACTAGGAAAAAGTTGAAGTAAAAAGACATTAGATCTAATCTACAGCACACTAAATACAGGAAAGTTTCTGCATTCTTAACTGCCATAAAAGCCTCTGCAAATGCAAATCTTCTAGCCTAATTACTTTGCTGGCCCTGTTAGGCCAAAATGGAGGCTCAATTGTGAGCACCCAGGGGGCAATCACACTGTGAGGTGACCACATTGTAATGTAGTCAAATTAAAAGTAATAAATGCATACATCCATTATCTATACATGCTTATTTTTTGCAGGGTGGAGGGAGCTGACATTGGGAGAGACACTGAGAACATTGCGTAGAGTTGCCAGTCAAATACGGTGACAGACAACCATTCACACCTACAGGCAATTACACTTGTCTTGAAAATGAAAATGGAACATATCCTTTAATTCGTTGCTTTAATGTATTATTGTGTAGGTAGTGTCAGAGACAGGGTGTCAATCAAAGTGTCGGCTAACACCTAACAGAGGAAAAGTAGCAGCTAGCTGTACAACTCTTTGAGGCGATGTAACCTTGTGGGATGTGATAGTGTTAAATGTATTCTGGTCCAAGCCTAAAGACTTCCTTCAAGAGCTCCAGCTGAGAGGCTGACATTCCCTGATGTTGGCAAGCACTGACCTGAAACAGCCCAAAACCACCAAACACACAGTGGGAGCTCAATAAGCACCACGGCTTCTGCATGAGGTGACCAGCGTACAATGCCACTTCCATCCATTTTGCCAGCATGACCTCGCATGCCAACACGGCAGTCCTTGCGACATGACATCCATCAAAAAAGGCCGAGGGATATACACTTTTAGGGAGTGGATGAAGACAAAGCTGAAAAACCTATGAAGTGTGAAGCGTGAAGGTGACAGAAGATTCTTGAAACATTTCCATTCAGTTTTTATCAAATAAGAAGGAAGAGAGTAAAATTCCTCAATAAACCATATCATTTTCTATTTTCTACTACTAAGCTTCTAAGACTAAGATACCAAGCAGGAATATGGTATTTTAATATTGGAACCAGAGACCAAAGACCACAGTTTCAGAGTATATTTGATTATAAAATGGCACTGTGAAATTCCCACTCCCCACTAGGAAAAGTAAACTGCCCCTGAATTTTCCTCAGTGGGAGATTGTGCACCTTTTCTCAAACCTTAATTCATGACATGATGATGGCAGCACTGTCACGGGTAACTATTACTTTCGCAGGATTCTGTTTTTAAAAATGATAAAGTATACCATGGCAGGGATTTAAGTGGCATCTAACTGAACACCGCTCTCGTCTGTACATGGCAACCGGGGAATGAGAGTGGGCTGTGAAGCGTGTAGGAAAAACTACAATGGCTGTGAAGCTTGCAAAAAATGTGAAAGGCCCCATCTACAGAAAGTGTTTGGTTTGACCCTTCTGGGCTACTGCAGAAACGTGGTGGTTCGAAATGGCGGACTCCATGGTAGGTAAACCGTGACGCCTATAGATAAAAACAGCTCATTCGAAGGTAACAAAAACACAATTATTCCTATATTCAGCTGATTATACACTAATGAAAACAAACCTATGAATATTATATTCCATTTCTGACAATAGATCCTCCTAAATGTTACACACTGGACCTTTAAACCAATCTATGTACAGGTACAGAGACGTTTGGTTGGTGCAAGAAAATTGGGAGAAAATCCTAAAAGTCTTAGTAGTTATTTCTGACCACTGATGGCCTTTGGTAAAGGTCCATTATTGGTATTGGCTAAGATAAAACAAATCCAAATTCTATCCTTTATTAACTGTGTTTTGCCTCAGCCTGCTAGTGTTGTAGCGATTTTGTTCTGTTGTGATAGTAATGAATCTGTTATGTCTCCTCTCTTATTAGCCAAAAGTACAAAACACTCGCTGGTGCGGACCGCCACTTTCACAAGTTTAAATGACAAACATCGATGGCAGTTGATCAGCTGTTGCCAATTAACCTTAATTTCCTGAGTGACTTGATGACAGGCCAAAATGAAACTGGTCTCTCGTCAGGTTTGTGTGCTTCCTGTAAGCCAGCATGTGCACTTGATCAAAGGCTGCGCACAAGGTAACAGAAGCACCACTAGTGTTTCTGTTTCCAAAACATATGAAAGGACTCAGATTGGGACCAAAAAACTTGATTGGGACATTCCTAGTTACAGATATGGTAGTTAAAGCCATTTAATCTCAGGAGTGCCTACTGTGATGCGATGGGACAAATAAATGATGTGCTATCTGACTGGTTGACCTGGAACCACTATTGTTTTTTTAAAATTAACATTGAACAAAACTTTTAGTGTCGTTCCTAACAATCTTCTCTATACTTATGCTCTTATTACAATAATACGCCTCCAGTCTTCTTCCCAACTGAAAATAATCAGTTTCATTATTTGGGAAGACAAATTGTTATTATAAAAATAAAATTACAAAATAAAATATTTTATACAATAAAACTAAATAATTGTTACCGTGACAATGAGCAGAAGTCCTTTCAGCAGGGTAAGCAGAGACGTGATTGGTTGGATGATTGTGTGGGCCAGTAAGATTGCAAGAGTTAGAATCCAGGTGAAGGCCGGGATCACGTAGATGTGGCTGCGGAGAAAAAAAGCACAAGCAGTCACACATGTAAATGCTTTTATTATTTATGTTCACATTTAAAAAAGGTCCAGAGTGGAACATTCAGGAGGATCATTCAGGAGGAAACCTGGCTCTAGATAGGGCCCTTAGAGTTTTTCGCGAGTTTTACAGCCATCATTGTTTTCCCTACATGTTTGGAAGGCAAGTGGTATTCAGCTGGTTGCAATCTCACCACTAAATGCTACTTAATCCTACACACTGGTGTAAAGGAACTCCTAAACAACACAAACATCTGTCTGGAATCCAGCTCTGCTATGATCCACTGACAACACCTACAGTTGTAAAGAGCAGAGTCTTCTCCAAATGTGGTGAATGAAGGTGACAATGATTTTTCTGTTTCTACCCCTGTCACCTGCACACTTCTCATCAACACACTAATTACCTGAATGATAAAAAATAAACACAAACAGTATTGATATCAAAGATGTGAGAAAAATAAAGGTTGCTTTGTAACCTTAGTGAGGAATACCTCCTCCAAAGTACAGCCACACAAAACAAACACCTGTCTGCTGTCCTCATTATCAACAGCAACATCTGGCGTGTGAGCTGTAAGGTTTGAAAACACATTAAAATGCCTGTTGCAGTTTAAACATGGAAGATAGTCCAAGAATGTTCATGCATTCTCACAGATGAAGAGGTATGTGACCTTTACTAAGTCAACAGTTCTGTCTTACATCACCAGGTTTCGATCTAGTCTTTCTGGGTTTTTCTTTTAAATAGAGGGCTCTGTACCTTTGCCTTACCCAAACCTATTGGTTTTAAGATACTAGCCCAAAGCACTTTAGTCAACTTTGGTTGTTTTAAAGTGCTTAACAAATAAAGTTGGATTGGATTGGATTGAAATTTAGTAGCTGTTGTAGCTTCTTAAATGTTGAAAAGTTGTTTACATTGTCCAGAACATATTAAATAAAAAACATTTTTATGTGGCACCTGTTCTTACTCCAGCACCTGAAGTCAACTCAATGTGTAACATTTAGGAGGATCTATTGTCAGATATGTATTATAATATAGTATGTTTTTTATTAGGGTATAATCACCTGAATAGTTTTGTTTTCGTAAGCTAAAAATTAGCAGTTTATATCTACACAATAGGGCTGCACAATTACTTAAAACATTACTGAAATTGCAATATCGCCAAGCGCAATATCCAGGTCATTTTTTATAATGGTAAAATGTGTGACAAACAGCATTATGTCACATCATGATTTTAATAGTTTTCTCAGTGAAAATTAAAATTGTGATGCAAAAATGATCCTTCCAACACAAATCATGAATCATTGTATTCACAATATCTGTCAAAATAATGGCAATATGACGTTTTTACCATACTGTGCAGCCCTACTACAGAAACCACAGGTCGCCTTCCATGTCACCGCCATTACCAACCAAACACTGGTTTCTTCGTGCTGCATGGCTAGATGCCACTAAGTCTTATCCACTGGTTCAAGTTAAATCAACCTAAATTTCTGTTGTTGGGCCAACATATTTGGATGATGGTAGAAACACAAATGTAAATCATTTAGAATATAAATAAAAAAAAGTTAGGTGCTCAAACAGAACAAGATAAAGTCATTTGTCACATGTATAAGTTACAATACAATTGCACGGAACTTAGTTGACAAAATAGAAATAAGTCCTTTAATTTTTTGGAGTGCAGTTGCAAAGGTCATTATGTTACAGATACAGTGGACAGGATGTCTGTTGATCTTTAAAAAAAAGTCTTAAAATGTCTCAACTTCAAATGTTTGCCTCACTGCACACAGCACTCCAGGGAAGCGCTCACAGCCACTGGAGCTGTTGGTGGTCAGTAAATAGCTCCAAACTGTCAGCTGGCTGCTTTTTAAACCATAATGTCTTGTTTTCTGTTTCTACATGAGACAAATACAGACAGTGACATATGAGTGTGGAGGCCATGAGATTGTCTGAAGGCAGCTTTAACAAAGGGGAGCCAGTAACAAGACTATTGTAACCACTGTTGAGTAATTGGTATGTGATTGCCAGTTCTTTTATAATCAATTTATGATCCCCATAGAAGTCATCTTTGTCATAATACTGTGTACACATCATAAAAGCAAAACAGCAAACTGTTTTAGACCAAGTGTGAACCTATCGTGACGTCACCCATTGGTTTGTGGAGTACCATTTTGAAGCCTCCAGTTTGGCGTAATGGTCGTCGACAGTTTGTCAGTGCCAGCGGCAGGTGACGTACTGCGAGTTGAGCTGCTCTCATTGGATGCTCAGGTTCTACTCATCCACAGCAGACAACACAATCACACAATGTTGTATCACAGATAAACAGCACACTAAAATATGTTTCTGAAATGATTTTAGGTGAGAAATAGACAACGCAGTAACAGAATCTGGATCCATATCTGATCAGCACTGCCTAGTTTGACAGTTTGATTTGAGTTTGGTGCGTTGAGCTGGACAGACTCCCTGAGAATGACCTGTCAATCACAAGATAGTCACACCCTTAAGCATACCCTGCTTTATGGTCTATTTTACTGAATGAGACCATCATTTAGTAAATGTATGGAAGAAGACTGAAACTAGAGATTGAGACCATAAACTCCTCAGTAAACTGTTCATTGAGCGAATAAATCAAGCGAGAAGTCGGCTCATTTCTCCAAAAACACTGCATGCTATTGGAGACCTGGAAGCTCTGTCCATTGTTTGGACAATGATTTAAACCAAAGTTATTCAGACTGAATAGTGCATTATCATACGGGTGTCGCTGACTAACTCCTACAGCACTCTCAAGTCACTGAAGCAAGAATCAATGCAGCGCCGTTAGCCGTCTCTTCAAGTAATTGTTGTCTCCCCCTCCACCTCACACCTCCTCTTTCCCTCTCCCAAGCCTATAATTACCTTTATCAGTTAACAGGACTAATTTATTTTGTCATGCCCCAGTAAATACTTAACCCAAATAATATTATTCAAACTCTGCAGGTCGGTCGGGTGGCTTCACTGGAACGCCTGGGTGCTTCGTTATTATACCGCCTGCTCAGCGCCAGGGGAGATGCTGTGATGCATTGTGGGAGTGGAAAGGGAGGGTTACTGGAGTGAAAAAACCTCGGCAGCCTCCTTTGGATAAACCACCTTATTCCTCCTCCCCAGGGGCAGCAATCAATAGGTTACTGCAGGTCTCTGCACAAAAACTCTCCTTTCAATCCCGCTGCTGCAGGATAGTGGGTGTCTTGGAAACAAACCCCACAGAGATCTGTAAGATTTAAAGCTTACTGAAATTCAGTTTCAACAGCTGGTGAACTTAAATCTTATAATCTTACGCCTGACAATTAATACAGTTGGTACAATGTGCCTAAACTGACCAAAACTTTGAATCATCTTTCACTACTTATTTTTAATATTTCAATTCATATAAAATACCAATAAAGAGGAGCAATTATTACTTAGTTTAAACCAAATAAGGGAGTCCTTTCCTTGTAGAAAGTGATAATTTAGTGGCTGATGACATAAAAACCTACCAATTATGTAAGAAAATGCTGAGCACAATGAAAAAAAAAAGAATTTCAAATCTAACTGTCATTTTCATTACACCAGTTTTGTTATCAGTTTCTATATTTTATTTTCAACCCAAGTAAAATTTGCTAATACATCTATTCACGCCATTACAACTTAAACATATACAACATTTTCACTGGAAGAGGGCATACAAGGAGAAGGCCCACAATATTTACAGCTTAATTTGTTTGGCCATATCCTTCAGCAGGATTTTGTCTTTATAATGGGAAAGGGAAAAAATTTTTTTTTTACTGTTGTATCTGTAGGATCGATACAATATCAACTTGGGTAGACTTAACTGTTGCTCTCCTGCTGAAAACAACATCTGGTTTGTCATGCAGTACATTCAATACCATCACAATGTGAACACAGCAGAGCACAGATAAGAGATTTCTAGAATAAGAAGGAGCAACTTTGTTTACCTGGACTCTTTGTCCTTCATATCAAATTTATAGGCTAACATTGAAGAGCCATATGTTGGTTCAGACTGACAATGTGCAGTATTAATCATAGATTCTCTAGATTCCCTAATTCTACACTGTTCTCTGTTGACCCTGCATGCACCCATTGCACATCGACTTCTGAACCCTCATTCATAAACGTGAAATTCTACTATAACAGGAAACAGCCAAGAGTCAAAACTGAACATAAATACATATAAATACACTTCAAACACATTTAAAATAAATCCTTATCCAGTGTTTGGCTTCCAAAGCTGTGGTTTGTTCAGTGAAGTATTATCAGCAAATTATACTTTAAGTATAAAAGTAAAAGTACCCCTTTCTGAGTATTATATTACTGTGTATTATTTGATTATTATTCTTGATGCATTATTGCGTAAGCAGCATTTTAGAGCTGGCTGGCATTAATAACACCACAAATCAAGCATAAGCCAGCAGCACTGGTAGTGAAAGCAAACAGATCCATCTATGCACTTCTCAATTCTCCATTTTCTTTATGTGGAATCCATAGCTAGCCTAACTAGGCAAACTCAAGGCCAGTACCATTGAGGTTCAGCAAAATATAGGAGGAAAAGTTTCCAGGTCAGGACATAACGTATGACGCGCATTTTAATGACGAAATCTCACATTATACAAATGGAGAATGTAAGAATCACGTTAGGACTACAACAATAAATTAAACGATTATTCATTTCCTTGGAATTTTTTGTGAAAGCAAAAGGGAGCCACTGGAGAGGGGCTGAAGAGCTGCAAGTTGCCTGACCTTGCGCTAAAGTAAAGAAAATACAACCATTTTTTAGGTGATTATACGAAAACATATTTACATTTGTGCCAATAGATCCTCCTAAATGTTACACACTGGACCAAGTACAGCGCTTGACTAAATGTACTGACTGTGACTGAGTATCTGTTGACTGAGGTGAGATCGCTGTGTCTACTTATAGACTATTTTAGCCTTGGAATTGAAATCTTCATTTCAGTGGGAAAAAAGTGATCCATATACCCGACAGCACAGTAAAAATTGTCTGGCTTAAACAACACAACAACATATTATCTGTTATCTGTACAGAACATGTCTCCCAAAAGTACTGAGGACCAGACAGCTACAGTCTGAAAACCATTTGATTCATTTCATCAAGTACATTCATACATTTAGAAATACTGACTAAATAGGCCAGTTTACCCTTTTGAAAGTAGCGGCCACAGTGTTAAGTGAAGTGCGTGACAGGTGAGAAGGCCTACAGCTAATTATTCATTCAGTATTCATTAGTAGAGATTTAAATTTCAGACTAGGGTTAGTCATCTAACACAGAGAAAAAAAATCCTCACCATCTGATAATGGAATATTTTTGCCGCAGGAAACATCTCTGCTGTGTGTTTGTTTGCTTTAATTAAAAGGAATGCTGTAAGTTGGTGCAACGCTTTCAGAGCCTCCCACTCTAGTGGGCAGCTATCATCTCTTGGGGTTGCATCAGTTTTTAAAAAATTCAATTCGAAGAAAAAGATTTTATTGTGAGCTCATGTATCCTTAAGCAACACTTCCCTGAAGTGACCCTGAATTCACTTTCAACTTTTTGCTTTTTGAGAAATGAAAGTGAAACTGAGGGTCAGTGATGTTGGAGACAGAAGGGTTTTCTTAATAATCCACCTCTGATATGACAGTCTGAAAACCTGCACTGATGTTTGGATTTTCTTTGCATACTATTTATCTTTTCAGTGATGTTTTTCACAGCTCAAAGAAGTTTCCTTACATACAAATTTGAATGACTCACACACCGTTAAGAGCAGCTAACCTTAAAAACAATGTGATTTATATGTAGGTAGAAAACCAAACTCAGAATTATATTCTGTAATTTCTAAAACTTAGTTAACTAAAACTTAAAAAATAGTACATTTTATAGTTTGTTGTTTATTTGGATAATACCCAGCCTCTAAAACTGTTTTAATTGCTGTATCTATCAAAAGATTATCTAAAAATGTCCTTAGGGGCAACTGGGCTCTTAAGTTTTAATCATTATCTAATACAGTGTCAGCCTTAGGAATATTTATATGTAGAGAAACCCTTTGCAAACCCCTTAGAAATCCCAAGAGCCAGTTCTGATTTGGACCAGGGTTCTGGTTGATAAAACAGCAGGATACTCTATGCTCTTAGGCTAACAAATCTATTCAATTTAGATAAGCAGGCTTCTCATTTTTAGCCCATAAAGACCATTGCTTCTGTGGGTTTAAATGACACACATTGCTGACGGGAGATATGTAACTTAGTAACAGTAAGGCAGCAGTTCATTAACATACACTCGGCATGCCTGTTCTTGGCCAAATATCATTTGTGAGGTAAAAGCGTCAATCCTGAACATCACTCTGAATCTGCAAGAGGACAGTGTGTTGTTGTAGTTAAACAAGACTAACAGAGCATGAAAGTGAAATGATCTCGTTTACGTTGCCTGCAATTTTTCCCTAGGAGGGCCTAAAGTGAAACTTAATGGTGGGCTACAGGCCTAAAGCGAACACCTATTGTATTGTAAAAAAATCAAAATGAACCACTACACATTGGAATGACTTTACTGTGATTTCACTGTGAGTTTGTGTCCTGTAGCTTATTCAGGTCCCTTCACTACTGAGCAAACCTGAACAAGCTACAGGCAAAACACATTGTTCACTCCCAATAAAATCACTCCAGTCATTCCAGTGTGTGGTGGTTCATTTTGATTTTTAATGGCATGTTAATGTAGTGTATTGTAAAGATGCAAAATAGTCAATGGATCCCAAGTTTCCTTAATTGACTGACTTCCTGCGCGAAGGGTCACTCAAAGATAATGTCAAAATAATTCATTATTAAGGATTTTACATATTTAAAGGACATTTGTACCTCACATAAACAGTACAACAGAATACACAGCAATTTATATTAGAATTGGTTTTTTTTAAAGTCACCCCCACTTTGGGCTGCCCTGATCTAGCTGATTACATTGGTTCCAATGTCCTACCTACATGTTAATTCATATCTATAATATAAGCTTTCCATAAATTTTAAAGTTTTAAAGAGTTCGGTCTAGACCTAGTCTATTTGAAAAGTGTCCTGAGATAACTTCTGTTATGAATTGGCGCTATACAAATAAAATTGAATTGAATTGAATTGAATAAATGCTAAACAGCTCCAACCCATGTAACTGTACACCATAAGTTACTTACCTGACATTAAGAAGAGCAGCAAAGGCCTCACTGCCAGCTAACACATAACTGATTCCAATAGAAATACTGGAGAAAGAATAGGAAGAGAAAGAAAAAAGAGAAATAAGACAGGCAAAGAAAAAGGGGGTAAGAAAAAGGAGAGAAAGAGAGGTTGTTAGTAGATGATGACCAATCACTGACTAATACTTGTCAGGCTAGCACTCCTCTGTTTTATCATACATTAAGATGTTGCCTCATCTTAGTGCCTGAGGCTATATGAACAGCTATGAGATTTAATTTTAAAATCATTCCTTGTTTGCAGCGCAGAGCCTTGATCCTCCACAAATTCTCTATTTAAGATTTGCTCAAAACAAAAGTTGCCTTTGGGGGCTACTCAAAGCAAATGTTTTGCTTGTACATTTCCCATGTACTCTGAACATCACGCATTGACATCAAGCCAGAAATCGTTTTGCAAAATGCTTCGCCTCCATAAGTGAGCCGGATGTTGCTGAACATTAGAAATCAGTGTTTTCACTGCAGGCTTCAATCCAAAGTGAATGACAAGACAGGTTTTTGTGGCTCAACATCTGTTCTGTTCCTTATAACTTTAAGCCTCTGTAATCTCTCAACAGTTGGTTGTTAAGAGGGCAAATCCATTAGCAGTTTCTCCAGACAGCTAAGGGTTATTTTACACCCAATCTTTCAAATCTCCTCTCTTTCAAATTTTAAAAGGAAACGCCAACAAATTTAGAAAGTTTCATCTATGGCAGTCTCAGCCGTATTTTGGAACAAAAATAACTTAGCAAAGAACAGAGGACATGTGACCTCAAAGAAGCTGTGTGAGGACTCAAACTCATATTTCCTGCTAATTTGGACTCAGACGCTCTCCCCAACTCTCTAGACATATGGAACCTTGTCCGGCAAAAATGAGCATAATGATCCTTCCTGCCCTCTTTATATCTCCAGCGTAACATGCTGTAACACCTGAAATATTAAATAAAAAACAAGGAACAGCTTGGTTGCAGGCAATTGTTTTCTTCATGCAATGCAGAGCCTATTCACCTATATTAGTACTGGATCAGGACTCGCTATCAGCAGATATTAAATGGGGATTGGGGGCAAAAAGACTTGATTGGGAGTTTGGCATTTATACTGTGGCATTGCATTGGTATCGTGAATCTTGGAATTTCACTGGTATTGGCCTCAACTACAAAATTTCTGGTATTGTGACATCCCTAGCTGGGAGACCACAGTACTTTACTATTGGTCAATCTTCAGTCAACAAGTAAAAACTGTCCATCTAATTTGTAATAGTATGCAAACTCTGATATGCCTGATACAACATTTAAAAAGAAGAGAGAAGAATCAGAATCTGTGAAACACAGAATCAATTTTCAAATTATCCATCCTAACACAATACATAAGAATGGGTAGTCCACCATGAACTTCCAGAACAACTTCGGCATTTCTTGCCGCATATTTCAGTTCAGTGAGAGAAAATTACATCAAGTAGTTGACAATTTATAACAAATGGTTCACAGTCAGATTTGGCAAAAATGGCTCTGCTCTTTGACGTAGCTCTCAAAGAATCTGGACAGCGACGAGGATTCTGCTGAGACTAGTCTCCCCTTAATAAACATACTCATGTACAGTATGTAGCCAATAGTAATAGCCAATGCTTATGCTGGTGCTAATGGATATCCTATTAAACTAATACTGTTCTAATATGAAATAATTATAGGTAATTATTACAATTTGTGTCATTAAACAATTAGTTTTGGTATTCCTAACTTATTTAAAATGCATGTTCACTGTGAATTACATGCATTCATTGTGTGTGTGTGTGTGTGTGTGTGTGTGTGTGTGTGTGTGTGTGTGTGTGTGTGTGTGTGTGTGTGTGTGTGGTACAACAGCTCCACCATGTAGGGCAGTACATAAAGACCAAGGGGTGCCAAGGGTAAAAGTTGCAGGTCATGTTTTGTGCAGTGTCTGTGTGAATCTGTGTGTGTGCAGTTGAGCCTCGGCATTGATCGATCACTAAGCCTCCTTGAACACAATGAGGGAACGATCGATTGGCCAGGTGTTATAGAGCTGCTTGCACACTGATAACAAGACCTTCCACCGGCGAAGCTAAAAGCCCTGTCCCCCTCCCTTGCGCCCGTAAGGACACACACGTCGACACACAACCCTTTCCTTAAAGCTACTGTTTTTACCAGGCTAGTGTAGCGTAGAATGTCTGCAGTAGCCACAGCTGGTCCTAAACAGGTTTTTGGGTGATGCATCAGTGTTTTTCAAAGTAAAGCCAAACAGTCAGCCAAAACAACATTAGTTGGGACTACTTGAGAAATTAATAATTAACACAATCATCAGACATCAGTTTGTAGACTACGTATACTTGTACGAGCGGTGACGGCACTAAGAACATTACCTCAACCACAGCGGTCTTTTGATTCAGTGTAATGCAAAGTGTAATATACTAGCGGTCACAGGACAGAAAACAGTGAGTGAAAATAGTTGTGAACAGTGTTCACCTTAAAAAGTGGGTGGACTGCAGATGCTGCAGCAATGATCATATTTTATCAGCATTTGGCTCAGGCTTGTAACTCACAATATCACAAGACTTTGCAGCAGATATATTAAGTGATATTAAGTCTAAACCTCAAGGACAGTTTTAACACAAGTCTGGCTCAGTTGAAAGTAGTTGTCCTACTCCAGAACACTGAAAATGAAATGACTACAGGTCTCTCCAACATTGTTACATTAAACATGCTCGGATACTGCACTGTATTCCAGTAACAATGACCCAGCAGGATAGACTTGGGCTATAACAGAAACTATGTGACAGGTCAGGAGTCAGTATTTTAGCTTCAGTCTGTATTGATCTGTGGCACTGTTGTTTGTCCACATTATATTTAAAACAAGTCATGGAAGCCTATTTTCACCACCTCCAAGAAATAAATAAAACAGCTTTTGTATTGACTGTATTTTCCCATAATTATGACTTATGTCAAAATGATGGCATAATGTAGGTCAACAAAAATATGTTTGAAGTTAAAGTTTTTCTAAATGCTGCTAACTGGCTAACCTTTAAGTACAATTCCATCATTTATTTAATATTTATTGTAGAGTCAGAGTCAGACAAACACTGTTTTGCCTACAGCTACAGGTACATAGATACCACTATTGAAACAAAAATAATGTCAAAAATTATAGAAACGATAACTAGGCTAAATAGTTTATGGATTCTTCTGGACCAAGTAATTATTATGATAATAGTTTGATTTATGAATTTATTTACATACTGTATGGATAACACTAAGTGTAATAAAGAGGGAGCATAGTTTTGCCCATTAGGGTAATAAAATAGTCCCTCCTTTTTTATTTAAGGGTCAGTTGCTGGAAGCTGCAGAGACGAGCTTTCTTGTTGCACAGGGTTACAGTATTTCAGACCCTGTAGGGTGTCTCCACCAAGTTCACTTAGAAGTCAGCTGAGCATGGACTTTTTAAGCAATCATATTTTACAACATGTAGAAGCTAATACAAAGTGTATTTTAACTAATTTAGTTTTCAGTGTTAATATAAAACTTGTGTTGATCAGTGTTTATATATAATGAATTTATACCCCTGTGGTAATCTGTTGCTATAGTTACAGACACGATAAATTGAAGAAGAGGTGGACCCAGCTTGTGTTTCACTCCAACATCTTAAGAAACATTTGCTTTTTCACGTATCTAGCAGAGGCACAGCAACACTTAGCATTCAGTGGGTTCATGTTTCTGGCCTGCTTTAAAAACAGCTCAGTCATAATGACGGAGGTTGAACTTAAAATACAGCACAAATGGACATCCACCCATATACTCTCTTCTACTCTAATGGTTATTTACTGTCTGATTGGTAAATGTTGCTATGTTGAGATCCTGCTAAATTATGGGCTTCATCATCACCATGGTAACTTACAACTGGAAGAGGAGGATGCAGTTAAAGGCGTGGCTCATGGGCCGGGAGAGGAAGATGTAGCCGAGCAGATGAAGGTTGGGCTGCAGGCACTCAGCTTGGTTGTGCAAAGCTACTCCATCTGACTGTAGTAAACCGGTATCTGAAAGACACAGACAGACGGATGTATAAGGCTGTGAATTCACTCAATCCCAAACTGACCCCAGAATGACCTATAGCTAATGACAATATCATCCAGACTCTCATTCTGACCTCAAATAAAGTAGAACAATGACTGCTGACAAATACGGTCAACGGCATTCATTTTTAGACATCAGCTTAGAGCAGTGCTTCCCAAATGTAGATAACCAACCCAGTCTCACTGCTGCTTGGTCAGTGGCCCTTTGCCTCAACATATAACACTGTAGTTATCCCTTTAGTGCCATTTTTGAGTAACAAAATGCACATATGGAGGTGGTGGGGTGGATAGATGCCTCAAACAATCACAGAAGACTGGTGTCCTATGTGAAACCAAAAGTAAATCAATTTTTGTGCTACGTTGCATATTTATTCTTGCTAACTTGACCACAGAGCCCTGCATTTCCAGAAACAACACTAAATTGGCACCTGCAGCGTCATGTTTTGAAGCGGAGGGCGGTGGGTGGGGAAATTTGACAAGTTGTAAGTGAGAACATGTTGCGATGACTGGTGACCCCTGATAACAGGTTTTGGCCTCACTGAAGGCATGGAAGTGAGTCTTTCTTCACAGATTTCATTTTAAGGAGTCCTGGAGAGGTGAAAATATCCAGTATTTTATAAGCAAAAAATAATTCTTGTAAACCCTAAGATTTGATTTATCCCTTGTCGCACATATAATTTGAATGGTTTTTGTGGCTATGAAGAAAGCAGGGAAGGCTGTCATCACAAGAAAAAGATACTTTCACACAGAAAAGGAAATGCAGCTACAACAAACAGCGGGAAATTGCTTATAACTGGATGAAGCTGGTGGAAGGCGACTACTACAGACTATCGCACAAGACCATTATAAGAACTGTGAAACTTTAGCTTCTTTTTATGCTTACTGTATTAACTTGCGTGAGCAAGTGGGAAATTTGCATTCAAATAAAATAGATTTGTTGAGTCTTTCACATGCTGTTGTCTATTGTGTACTACTGACTCAACCAGAGGGTAAAGCTTAGAGATGTTACGAGCTACGGGCCAGAATAAAAATGTTTATTCCTTTAAGTTAGACAGACAGTATATCAAGATTTTGAGCACTGGTAAAATGTCTCAGACAAACATACTCTTTGCCCCACATTTGGTTTGTTGGTATATGGCCACCTTACCCCCCAAATGATCCCTTCCCATCTTTTAACCCCTCAGTAACGGAGGGAACATGGATTCTTTGTTTCAATGTTTTCTGGAGATAGAGACAGAAATGATGAGAAAAGTAGTAAATAAATCTGAAAAGAATGACGATCAACGGTTTGTTTAGATGATCAGGCTACAACCATGCTTATGTCACAGTCCCTTGTTGCCAACCTCAGCTCCACCATGTCATTCATCCTAAACTATTAATTGCAAGATTATTTAAGCTGCCTTACACTGCGGACTTATCTGAAGTTGAACAATGTTACAGCTGTACAGCTGTCACAGCAGGTTCTGTTCTTCAAGTAACCCGGGGGGGGGGGTTGCATGGACAGACGGAAAGCTTCCAGAACAACAACCATGCAGCCAATCATAATTGTACTGCCTGTTTATGGTGTAATAACTTTGATGTAAGTGGTCCTGGCAGAGTGTACATTATTAAACATGATAGTCAAAACAAGCATATTAAATTTATGGCAAACAAGCATGTTAAATTAATGGCAATGCAGAAAACCGTTATATAAGAGTAGGACATGGAAACAAACACACCGCCATCACCATCTGCGCCAGTGCTTGAGTTTAAATAAAATAGGTGCCAGTCCTCTACACCAGCAACTGCTCAGCATGCACATGCAGCTTTTATGGGTGAGAGGTGCTTTTGTCTTATTTGATTATATAATGATGGCTTGTTTATATTAATGGAGACAAAGTCCAATGTATAACATGCAAAAGCAGTGGCGCTGCATTCACAATTTTACTCAGTACAGATGTATTATCAGCAAATTGCAATTAAAGATGCAGTAATATTTTTTATTATAATATTATTATTGTGTTAGAAATCTCTACATTCTGGCCATCACTGATATTAGAGTGTTCAGTCAGTAACATGGCTCTTCCACTCCCTCCTTTCTGCAGTTTTTTTTTTTTTTTTTTTTTCCCCTCTTTTTTTTTTTATAAAGAAACTCCAAAAAAGTTTTTTAAGGGGGGGGGGGAAAATTTTTTTTGGGGGGGGGGGGGGGGGGGGGGGGGGTGCTAACTGCAAGAACGGACAGGAAGTTAGCCAAAATGCCGATTTCACTTACAGCAACAAGTATGAACAGCAACATTAAATTATTGGATTATTTTTAGTGATGCAAAAATGTATAAGAGGTATTGCAATAGCAGCTGTAGCTGGTTGAAGCAGTGGTAACTTCAACTACCTTATATATTGTTGCGCAGTTTATAATAATGCATCACATTTTATACTTTGAATGTGTTAACTTAATCTTCAAAGTAACTGGTGAGTAAATATTCTTACCCTTATTAGCAGTGCCAATAGTACAAGACTACAACAGAGTCAGGGTGCTGCTAATGTGCACACTGGCTCACTAGAAAGGCTCTGCTACACTTAATAAAACAGAACCTAATTAGCATCATTGTTAGCACCTGTTTTTCCTACTGTTACATTTAAAAATGGCTGCTGTGATATAAACGGATACGTGCCCATGGATTTAAGGCCTATCACTGACAATGAGATATGGCAAGTTACATAGACAACAAATGAGCCATTATACAATATAATTTTTCCTATCAGTGGGATAGCCCAAGCAGCTAAGCAGTGTAGGCCTAAGAAGCCACTGGTCCATATGATTATAAATCCGTTCTTAAATCATGGTTTAAACCCTTTGTGAAGCTTTCAGCATAAATTGCTTGTAGGCTACGCTCGAGCACACTGGACAAGTTCAAACAAAATGTTTCAAACACTTTTCCTGTCACAGGAAAAGGATCAAAGCAAAGTTTAAAAAAAAAAGAAGCAGGTATTCTCAGAGATAGCCTCAAGAGTTATGTTGTGTTTGGGGAATATGTGTAATAGTCCATTTTCTTTCCAGTAACTCTTTATACATTTATGTATGAATAAACCATTGACTGCATAAAGTGCTTCAAAGATTAAAGTAGGCAACTGTCAAATCCTGATTAAGTACTTTATTCTGCCTTTCCTTTCCATTTCCAGAGTTTGAACAAACTGTGGAGCATTTACCTCCAATCTATGACTGACCCTGTCCACACATACAGTACCTGGAGAGATCAGTCACAGATTCAAGGCAGAGCAGTGCTTGATGCTTGAGGCATTTTATGACCGATGAATGTTTATCAGTCATAATCCTCCAATGACAGATCTACAGCTATTATCAGAGTTTCTATTCCAGGCCACACGGGGGAGGGGTGTGATCAATGACAGCATTTCTTAGAAAACGAGGTCAAGCTATGAATGTCATTGATTGTGGATATGTGCAATGTGTGTTTCTTTCTATGTATGAACCTCTGAAAATAGGCAGTAATGCATGTGTGTATGTATGGCTACCACTGAGAATTGTAATGAGCGAGCTTGACACTTTATTAGTAAGTGACAGGATCATCCTAAAATAAACCTCATCGCTAATCCACCAATAACCACGGTTGAAAGGTTTTCTGCATATTGTCTGATTTCCCTGAGGGTCTGAGAGTGTAAATATATCTGGATAGTGTTTGGCCACACGATGCTTGTAATGTAGATGATAAAATTAGACGAGTGTGCAGGAATATCAAAACAAGATTTTGCTATTTTTATTCTGCAGATCTTCGCACATTCAAGGAAAAACAACTTTTAACTTTTGTTATTCTGTATATAAAAGATGGCTTTGTCATGCTTGTTGCTCATCCAAAGGGCAAGCACTAGCTACACTGGTGCATGCACACATACTCACCTATATACAGTATGATAGATGTGCACCTTTGGCAACTATTTAATGCAACTGGAGTCAGAGAGCCACTGGACAGGAGAGAACCCAAGCACACATTCAGTCTTCTCACAGAATGAAGTCTAATGCTCCATGGATAAGGTGACAATGCTTGGATTTTTCACCTTAAAAGGGGTTTTATTGTATAAAAACCACTAAAGAGACACTAAATAGTGTTTAAGGTATGATAACTACTGAATTATATTACCATGAATGCATCACCACTGAGGAAATAAATACCTTTCAAGTTAGACAGTGGCTTTTTCAAATGTCTGTCATGGACAAATATAGACCAGTTGCTAATAAAGACTGGGAAAACTAAAAAAAAAGGGGGGTGTGGAGGTTAAAGTATATTCTGTAACATTTCAATTTTCACAGCATTCATTCCATCAGTACCACAGATTCTAGTCATAATCTGCTGCACATTTCTTTTTAACAGAAAAACTGTATTTACTGTAATTCCAGTTGCTTCTACAGTACATTAATCACTGTTAAAGGTATACACTGCCTATATACTAATGTTCAAATTTAGGGAAGGTTCAGCATGTATGTGTGTTAATTGTGTTAAATGTGCAAAATCAATAAATATATGTTTGAAAAAAAGGAATCCGATGCACACTTTATAAAATCAGTTGATTGCATCTTAGGGCGTTTTCACACATACCTCATTTGGTCCGAACCAAAATTGTAGGTGAGAAAGGTGCCACGGACCACGGTTCGGATCAAAAGACCAACATTTGGTCTGAACTAATGAGGTGGTCTCGGTCTGGATCAAACTGAACCATGGTTCGGTTCCTTTACAGTATGAAAACACTTTTTTGATGGTTTGGACTTTCGGACCAATTACAGGAAGTTAGGCAAACGTACCATAGAAGAAGAAGAAAAAAAACGGAAGAAAACCCCCGCCAGAACAAGCAAAAATGAGTCGGGGAAGTACGTGGGGAGAGGAGGAGATTATATGTTTATGTTGGTAGTAATACCATAATAACGCAATCGGGATTTGCTCATTCATTTTCATTCATACGGAAAAGACAACCCGCCAAAATGACAACACGCCAACGTCAGACGCACGCCCGTCTACTCACCAATCAAAAGGGAGACGCAACACACGTACGTGGTGACAACATGCCGTAGGTATGTCATGGAAAGTTCTTTGGTGCGCTAGCAAAATTACTATGTGAAACTGAAAATAACGGGATCAAATGTATGTGTAACGTTAGTCCGGACTTTTAGGTGTGAAAACGCCCTTAAACTAGCAGTGCGTCAATGTGAACCAGTGAATCTTACCATCCCTACAGTCTAGTCATACTCAATCTGCTGAACTTTGCAACATTTGTTTCTAACAGAAAAACTCTATCTATTCACTATTTACTGTAACTCCAGTTGCTTTTACAGTACATTGTTTTAATAACCACTGTTAAGGCACTATCAACGTGACTCAACACTTAAATCAAAACCATGCCAGGAAAGAGGGAGATAATGCCCCTGCAAACACACTGAAAAAACAGTGACGTAAAAGGGATTATAAAGAGTAGAAAGATTGCGTGGCAGTGGTGAGAATGATAGGACTATATAGCTATACTGATAGAATTGGTGCTGTGGAAATGTATTGTGCTGAATTAATCAAGTAAACATAGAGGAAGTATTGAGTTTGCATTACAGGGATTTCAAACTGCCGGCCTGGGGTCATTTCCGGGCCAACCACCCCCCTTCACCCGGCCCCACGACATGATGTCAAAAATATATCATAATCCAGGCGCAAAATTTATTTTTTCTAGTTGGTTCATACCAATTTAAAGTACCCATTAATATATACAATTAAAATAAAAACACAATTATATTTTAAAAAATGGTCAAAGGTGCCTGCAAATGTGTGCAAACAGTTGATAAAAAGAGGGAAGGTGTCAGTCCTTCATTTGTTGTTTTCCAGGATATCAAATTATCATATAGAAATGTATAGAAAATGCTAGTGGCATGATTTTGTAAGTATGATGTTAGTAATGGGAAATACTTGCAGTGGCCCAGCAGATGACAATACTAGCAGTGGCCCCAAGCTAATTCGAGTTTGAGACCTCTGCATTACAGCATCTACGTCAAATTAAAACGGTTGAAAAACTAAAATATGCTAAAACACAGACAGGGAGAATTAGGAATAACTTGTAACCTGGCAACTTGCCATCACCCTCAGTGTTCTCTTTTCCGGTGAATGTTTCAAAATGATGCTTATAAATACGATTTTTACAAATTAGGCTTCAGGGGGTGTGTATCTCGCCAACAGAGGCCTATTTGATTAATCTCTCACTGTGCAACCAGTGATCCCAAACATCAGATCAATACAATTTAAATCAGCCTTGTACCGAGGCATCAGGTTATGGTGCAATAGGATGCAACTCAATACAGTGTGTTGCAACAGTGTGGACTTTTGCACTGTTACTTGACTTGCCTTTTAGTTTTGAAACTGCCTGAAAGAAAAAACACCTCTTCATCTACTTAGAGAAAACTTTTAACAATTTGGAAACTAATTTTTGTCGTACTTCCTCATTTGTATATAATCCCTTTGTTAGACGCTGTACCACTACTATCTCTCACTGTGTAATCTTTGTTAGTAAGTAACATATGACATAGCATGTTTGCATGTGAGTGCAGGCGTGTGCTTTGCCATATTGGCTATTTGAAACCTTAACAAACAGTCGACAGCTTTTTTTGGATTGGATTGTACTGTAAATGCAGAGTGACAGGAAGCTTAAGTAGGCCCTGATGAGAGGAAAGGTAGCCTAAGAAGATACAATTCCATTTTAAATACGCAGGAGATGAAGAATAAAGATGTTTTGTGCAGACCAATTTGTGTGTAAACCACAAATGAATAAAGTTCTCATAGAGCAGGTTACTGGTGTAAACCCTAACACAATGGTTATTTTAACTTTAAAACATTTTCATTAGTGCTGTCTAACGATTCAAATATTTAATCGGGATTAATCACATTAATGTCATAGTTAACTCGCAATTAATCACACATTTTTATCTATTCTAAATGTCCCTTGATTTCTTTCTGTCCCATTATTTTTTCTCATTTTAATGCTCTTATCAACATGGAAAAGTGGATCGGCTTGCTTTGTGCAAATGTTGTTTTTATTGAAAACAACATTGGCACATACTGTAGTGTTCAATTTCACACTAACATTCACACTTGGAGCAAATAATCTCTCACACAATGTAACACTGTCCATCAATAAAAGGGTGACAAAAATACTAGACCCTTGTCCTCCACAACGTTAACAGGCCGACATGCAGTAGCCACCCATTTAGCTATGGCTGCAGTAAGTTTGTTCTTAGTTGTGGTATCCAAGTGCTTCTGTCTGAAGTCATCCATTGTCGCCTGGCTTTGATGAGGGGGCGGAGAATTCGCATCAGCTGTGTGCTGACGTGCTGCGATGATAGCTCAGTTCACAACGACAAAACACACAGATCACTTTGGTCTTGTCAATGGAACCATTTGGCAACTTTATAAAGTAAACTTTCCATTCAGAATATTATTGGCATCCATTTCGGCGTCTCGCGCTCGCCATCCACTCAAAACGTAACATCTACTACTCTTAAACAAGTGTGTGCAGCGTGCCTGTTGTTTTGTTTCCGGTCTAGCTAGATCCGGTGTGGTGTTGTAGTTTTTCTAACGTTACTAGTTGTTGCAACAGCATGAGAAAAAAACTACAAAGTGTGCTAGGCCAAAAAGAACGTTAATCTTGCGATAAAAAAAAGTTACGCCGTTAAAATGGGTTTGCAATAACGCCGTTATTAACGCGTTTAAATGACAGAACTAATTTTAATTAAATATTTGGAAGGCAAATGGAATTAATAGGAAGATTTAATAAGGAAGAAATGCTTTACAAAGAATGTTTCTTACCCGCCTCTGCATTTTCACCCTCGTCCTCATCCTCGTCCTCTGTGGGTGCCGGATCCTCCACGCCCACCTGATCCATCGAGATACATTCGGCGACACCTGTCTAAGATCAACACAAATCAATCTTAAATTATAAAAAAAATTGCCTCTCCTACCATCAGCTGTGTAAATACTATGGGTTACTTATTTTTAAAATATCATATTGGCTGAAAACAAATCCATATTGTGCATTTCATTTTTTTACTTTTTTTTTTTTCAGTTTTACATTGTCTGGTTTGACTTTCAGGAATTTACTGTCCTATATCATCTTTTAAATTTTTGTTCACTCAACCCTTCTGCAAATGAGCGCCAGTTATGTCTTACATTGTCATTAGTGCTCTTGAATGTGTTCCTACTGTATCAAGTGTTCTCTGTGTTACCAACGGAGCCTGAAAAGTCAAAATGCAGGTAGAGAGCTTGTTCAGCTTACCTTCAGAGATTCCAGCTGAACCACCTGACATTTCTGAAGAAGTTCCACAAACAGGTAGATAAGCAAAGCCTGCATGACATAGAATGGAAAATATATATATTTTCTATGTATTTGATAGGAAAAGCATCTACACATTCAAATGTATCCATACTGATTTATGGAGCCAGCTTTCAGTGAGGAGTTAACAGGAACTGGCTCACTTGATGAATCCTAATGTGAAACACCTGTGCCATTACACCATGCAAAATCTCTGGGAACTGCAGTCCCAAGTCACAGACCGGCTGGGGGGCTTGCATGATTTCATAATCCCCACATTTTCATCGCAAAAAAGTCACATATATCTTAGCAGAAAGTTAAAAAATGTTGCGTTTACTTCACACAAGAGCAGCCATTTTCCCGTTGCCATGGGAACGTTATGAAGTGACGTAATTACGCAACATCATCGAAAAGCTGCAAACCCTGCGATGAAAACCTTACAGTTGTAAGTATATTAGTAGTATGTAGATTTACGTTACAGTAAGAGATTGCACTTTGTGCATTGGAAGCACTTATTTTAACAGAAGATGTCTGTTTTATATAGCTACCTCTGGAAAACAGGAAGCACACATTTTATTTATTTATATTTTATTTATTCATTTTTACAGAAGTTGTAGCATATTCCTTTTGTAAAGCTACAGAACTTGTTTGACTCATCAATATTTTGTAAGTTTGAGCCATGTGTTTATTAAGGTCTGAAATAAAACAAGATGAGAACTTAAATATTCCCAGCACTTTCTGTGATGTAGTATGCTTGCTTATCATAGAAAGTAATAAGAAATGACTCTTTACATTAAGGTAGTAGCCTAGTGAGAACAGGGTGTCGGGGGAATCACTTTTTTTTCTCTTTTTCATTAGTTTTTGCAAGTTCCCGCAATTTCATCGCATAAAATTGCATAAATATCCCGCATATTCCACCGCATTTTTTAAGAAAACGTGCCGCATAATCAAGGATTTTTGCCCGCAACAATCACAAAAAAACTTTCTGGAAGGACTGATTTTTTGCCAAGATCCGATTTTATTGCGTGGTTGTTGACATTATAATTTAAATGTGACCACCATCAGACTCCAGTGTGAACGGTCTACGGCCCGTAGTGACCTGCATGCGCAGACGAAGACGTGGCGTCACACGCAGCGCTATGATGATGATTACGATATTGCCGCGTCCCGCCTCCTCTGGTGCAGAATTGTGACGTCTGTCTCCCTTCAATGACGTAAAAGTCGGATGAAATGCGTCATGACCGTTCAGACTGAGGTCAACATCAGATATATATATATATATATATGTATTATCACTATCTTTTTGCTGCTGTCTACATTCCCACAGACGCAAATTCAAAAGATGCACTGCAGAATGATTTCTTAGGTGTATCCGTGTATGTATGGGGCGGCTGTGGCTCAGAGTTCCTTAATCGGAAGGTTGTGGGTTCGATCCCCGGCTCCTGGTGCCACATGTCGAAGTATCCTTGAGCAAGACAGTGAACCCCGGATTGCTCCCGATGCCATGCATCGGTGTGTGAATGTGTATGAATGTTAGTTTCTGTTCGATGGACTTTGCCATCACTGAGTGATTGTGTGTGAAAGGGTGAATGTGGCACATAGTGTAAAAGCGCTTTGAGTGGTCGGAAGACTAGAAAGGTGCTATGTAAGTACAGGTCCATTTACCATGTACATACCGCTATGTATATAAATAACTGTATATATTGATTTATTTCAATATAATTATCTTTTTCAATGTGTGTAGCATAATGGAACTGTAAACTTTCATTTCGTTATACAACATTGAGTTCTTCTTGTGTTGTGTTTATTGTCTTTAGGCAATTTAATCATTTTCATTTGAACTAACTATGCACACATTGCATAGGCTAAACTACTTTACGATAAGAAAGACTCAATACGGCCGTTGCCCTACAAAAATAAAATCAACTGTGGAGTTCCTTCCTGTAGTCCGGTCGGTACCCTGCAGTCAGCTTCAGGGAGTGTCCATCCTGAGAGTGGGGCTGTTTGACGGTGCGTCCACTGAGTGGAAAGAGGATGGAGCTGGAGAATAATCTGATTCTGACTTTTTGGCAGGGGTTGGCAGGCTAATTGATCACTGTATTTTAAATGTTGGCATAGATATTCTCTAACCTGACTGATTCAGGATTCCCGTCCCACCTGCTGTCATTTACTTTTTTCCTTGTCCCATCCCAGTCACGTGATGAATAGTGAAACGGACTCCCATCCCACAGGATTCTAGAAAAAAATATCAGCCTCTACAGCAGACAGAGAACAGAGTGACTAGGAAATCCTACTGCATCTCAACTGCTTTCTCAGTGTAGTCTGTTGGTGACAGACTTGCCTGACTCTGTCTTTGTGCTAGGCCGTATCTGAAGGCCTTAGGTTGAGCACAAGAGGAGAAACTGCAATGCAATCCATGATTTCTTATATAAAAGTGGTGATCAGTCTCCTATTATATGAATGAAAAGGCTATATGAAGGACACTGCAGTGCATATAACCCAGGTACCCCTCTCCTTGCCTCTTGTTTTGGGCATTAGAGTTCTAGTAGTCTTACTTAGCATTAGTGAATGGGTTATCTTTCATGGAATAGCTGCTTTTGAGCTGTGTTACTTACCTGGACAAAGAAGCCAACGAGAAACGAGACGAGGAAAGGCAACAATCCAGCATGGGCTATCGTCACTGGAAGACCTAGACATTGAAATAATGTTGAAGTGTGTCTGAATTTGATTCCCACCTCACTAGATTTGAAGACGTGCTAGACGGTGTCTGACTTTTTGTCTGAGCATCTTCCTGCCTGTCTATCACTGTCTCTGCTCACAGACACTCCTTTCCATTCTGGTTCAAACTTACCATTAACTTTTATGGATCGGTCTGATTCCAATATGAGATTTAAGTGATTGAACAAGTATTAACTTGGAAGGGCTCCACCTTTGTGGAACTACATGAAGACCCTGCTGAAAACAAAGTAGTTAAATGTAATGCCCCATGTAATTTCCACCTCTACAAAAATCTCTCTGGTGTTAACTACACTTCATAAACCACAGTCAAATGTGCTCTGCCAATGAAAGCCAAGAGATGGACAGAGGCTTAATTATGTTCCAAATAAACTGATATTATTAAAAGGAAGTCCAGTACAAAGAATAAATATAGCTCACCAAAGTTTTTATTATCATATTAGCTGGATGAAACATGCCTGTTTTTTCAGTTAAAAAGTATGTTTAAGTGAGAAAATGGAAGTACTCACCTAAGATTCCAGTTCCCAATATTGTTGCAATGGTCAAGAAATCTAGGAAGACAAACAGAGATTGATTTAAGATATAGTTACCACAAACAGCTGTGCAGGTGAAAAGTCAACAGTTACTCTTCAGATAATATGAAAAGTAAAAAATCTCCAATTAATACAAAGAGGGTATAAAGCGATGATATCACTGCAAAACTGGCAGTCTGAAAAGTGTCCAAGATGTTTTTGCTCAGGGCTGACAAAGACTCTTTCAAGGTAAAACATTTGGTGTCTGTCACAGAGTAGCTCTCAAGGTTTGGCAACCAAAGTCCCATGTCCAGTCCCACGTAAAGACAAGTAAGTCCAGGGCTCCAGGGTGCGGCCATTTTGGTTGCACATGCAAACTTCTGTCAAGTGCATCTGAAATTTAGCATGTCTGATAAAAAAAATATATATTTAACAAACACCAACGTGTGCAGACATTTGCCTCTGAACAATAATTATAAAGATATTTTCTAGAGATGATTCTGTCAGCATATAGTGAGATTTTATTTAAGCCTTGCACATGTGCCATCCATATCAGTGTCTGCATGTGTTAGACTGCTCCCCATACTTCTCCTACATTCCTTGCATGCTAATTAGAGAAATTGGGAGCAACATCTCAACCTTTAAACATTTCAGAATAAAGAGAACTATTGATATTTTTTCATCAAGATATAGGCTGCTGTGTCTGGACCACCTGTCCCTGGGTCTGAGATGCCAAACCCTGGCCCAACATCACAGGCAGAGATAGTCTCATCTTAAATCTGAGTCAGAGTCAGAGCCAGAGCCTAGTACGTACCAAAAAAGGCCAAAACAAGCAGTCACATGTAAACATGTAGAGAAGCGATATTTTGATCTGCTCTGCCTGCAGTTTCTTGCCTACCGCCGCTATGTTTTACTAAGGCACAGCATGATAGCTTGGTTAATAGTGAAGTGTTACAAACAAGCTAAATTGAAATCTGTCTATAGTCTGTCTATAGACTTAGCTACTTGCTGAGATGGCAGCACCGTCTCTCAGGGCTGCTGCTCTCCACCAGTGGTACCTGCAGGCAGTGAATCACATCAGAGGAGGACAGGATGAATGAGAATGACTGATACTGACTGATGTCTGTGTTCTTCATTTTTTCTAAACTTCACTCAGTACTGTGCTGTCAGGAGTGTTATTTATTTTACTGACATCTTGATTGATGATTGGTTTCCAGTGAGATAATACTGAGTTCCTATAGTGACTTTGCTGTAGCAAACATTACTCTTCCTGCTCTAGAAACACTTATTTTAGTTAAAGTCTATTTGAAATATAAATTCTAATCCTGTTTTGAACGTATCATTTCTAAAGCGATATATTAAAAAAAAGAAGCAATTATTTAGTAATGAAAAAGAGTACTACGCACCAAGTTAAGTTAGTCTAAGGTTTTCTTAAGACGCAATACTATTGGCATATTTTTTGCAGGCCATGGATCTGCCCCCTCTTGGCCATTAGAAAGAATGCATGTTAAAGTCATATCAGTGTTGGCTTCACTTTACAGACCCAAAAGCTCTGTCCACTAATTATACACCAATCAGACATAACATTATGACCACCTGGGCACCCCCATTTTTCCTGCTTCTAACACATCAAGTTGAGGACAAAATGTTCACTTCCTGCCTAATATATCCCACCCACTGACAGGAGCCATGGTAACCAGATAATCAGTGGTATTCACTTCACCAGTCAGTGCTCACAATGTTATGGCCGACTGGCATACATTGTCAATCTCACATGAAGTCATGACTCATTGGAATTAAATGTATTAAAATCAAAGCAGAGTCGTAACAAATTCTTTACTCAAGTCTGACATGGACTGTCATGTGACTTCAGCCCACACTTTCGGTTTTTGACAAACATCAGCACAATCTAAAATAATCCGTGACCATGACAGTGCAACAATAAAAATAACTAATACATCTATGGGACTCATACTGTTTACCAATACTGTGTCAAAGAGATGTTAAGGCAATCTTAAGCCATTTTTAAGGCTTTCTCAAAATTACAAAAGATATCGATTGACACCTTCTATTTCCAGATCAGGGACGGTTCAGAAAAGCAGATACAAGCCAGAATGCAAGAAACCCACATGCAAACCCAAATAACTTTAGTAGCAGCCGTGATATCTCAGCTGAGCTTTCACTGTAACCGGTCCCCCTCTACTGCTCCATCTGCTTTTTCAATTTACTCACAGTTGTAGAACAAAATACATTTCTCAGAACTGCACACATCATCTCTGAGATCATTCATTCTCTCACACAACCGACTTGTGCTACCTCGCTGCTGTGGAGAGTCAAAGGCAACATTATAGCAAATGACCCTGACCCCCCCGCTCTACCTTGCCTATCTTAAAACTACCCCCCTCCCGCCTGCAGATATCAACATACACTGAGAAATCGAAAGACAAGGTAGAATGTGAACATACACACAGTACCCCATCATTACTACTACTCAACTGGAATGATGTTATGCAAACTGCATACTTTTCTCTGTGCTGAAAATGTTGTACAGTTATGACTGTATGACTTTGGCTTTACTTTTTTCATGTTTAGTCCTGTAGTTTATTTCTCACACCATCTTGCCATTCAGTCACATAATTTCCTCGCTGTCATCACCTGGCGCTGGCAATCGTTACATCTATCTTCTCATCATCTGGTCACATCTGTCCAACAGCACAGCAACACACCTACACTGTTAGCCTATCATGCTGTCTTTTTAAATATGTTTCACAGAGCTGTAACAATCAATCGATAATTCTTATAAATTCATATATTTGTGAAATAATTCTCTGATTTCAGCTTCTCCAATGTGAATATTTTCTGGTTTCTTTAGTGCCCTATGACAGTAAACTGAATAACTGTGGGTTGAAGATATGACCTGGGGCTTTGGGAAACAGTCATCAACATTTCTCACTACTTTCTGACATTTTATGGCCCAAACAACTCAATACAATATTCATCTCTGTTCTGGCACGACTACATTGTTTTTTCTGGTCCTGTCATAGGATTTGTTGACAGTCAGTAATGGACTGAAAACCGCAGGAAGTCCATTGCTGTGAGACCCTTTATTGCGATGACAATAAAAACCATCAACCAGCCCCTCTGCCACCACATGCTGATAGTTGTATTGACAAGGCGGGTCCCTTTTCTGTCGCATTCAAATCTATCACTTGCACTCTACGGACCTCCCATCATCACTAGAAATACGCTGTCATTTTAAATCAGCATGATCGTTTTTCACGATTCTCTTTTCAATCCTCCTCTGTGCTCTCCCACCGCCCCTCTAAAGATGGCTGGGCGACATATGGCGTCAGTAATTAGACATGTCATCATAATCCTTTTCATATTGTCTGTGTTCACACAGCTGCCGAGGCATGTAGTATAATGACTCAATAGCTTGTGTTATAGTCAGAGACAATGAGTGAGACAGGAACATGGACAAAGTGACCTTAACAGACATTTAATGGCATTTGGATTTTGACGGCTCAGCCATTTGTCCTTTGCCTACAGTCTGGCACTTCTGAGTCACAAGGCAAGCTTGACTACATAACAGCATTACATACATTGTTTATGTCAAAAAGTAGCTGAAAAATCTCACATGTGATGCCACACAAATGACCACCTGCTGCACAGGTTGCCAAAAATACAATCTCTGACAACAAAACTATCTACTTTTTCCCCTATTTCTCTAAATGTGGAACAGCCAATTTCCCTTGCCATGTGCCTCACCACCAGTGGCTCATTTTCACCTGTCAGTGAGGAGCTTCAGCAAGAAGCTGTAAGGCCCACTGAGCCCGGCATGACGTGAAGCTAAGTTTGCTCCTTTTCTATTTCTATGAAATGTGAGTGAATCTCCTCTCAATCGCACTGGGATATAAAATGAAAGCTGACTGACACATAAAAGTGAAGCAGTGGGAACTGAGTGTAGTCCTGATCAGGTGGAATTGATCAACAATTCATCATTTTACAGTAGAGCCCAACCAATATGGGAATTTTAAGACTGATACCAATATTGATTTTAGAGGAAAAGAATTCAACAATATGTGCTGGCCGATATAGTGAATTTTTGAGCTGGAATTCAAATTAAATTATTATTATTATTATTATTATTAATAAATTAAAATTGTCTATGTGGACTGTGAACCGAATTCGCACTGATATGTCCAAGCAATGGTAATCAAGAGGCCGCTTTCTTAAACAATAATTCTATTAAAGGATATGTCAGTTTAAATTATTTAACATATACATCATCAAACTGCTGCTCTCTCACTCTGTGGCCCAGGAGCGAGAAAATATTCAGCAGATTAATGTTAATAATGCAAATATTTGTAAGTAAACAATAAACAAGGTGTCACATTATTTGTTCACTTCTAGGTCCCTAGCAGGAAAAGCACAGGTGTTACTAACAATATTAAGGCTGGCTGCTTAATGGATAACGAACCTCTAGGCTACAGAGCACACATTTGTGGAAACATGAAGAAAGTAATTGCAAAATACTGAATAAAAAAAGAAGCTTTATGTATGGGAGATTAAGTCTGAATGACTCACACTTTGTTTCCATAAAATATGATCCAGTATCACCTGAATTAGTGATGAAGTTGTGTGTTTGTACAGTAATCAGCGCTCTGGTAGAAAGCAGTGCTAACTAATGAATCTTTGCTCTGTGTCCTAAAAGCTGGAAGATTGATTGACAAGTGGATGTTATGATATGTTTTACAGTAAGAAATGATCATCTATTGATATAAAAATACAAAGAAATTGAGTTTTTGGGAATGTTTTGGCAGACATTGTTAAATAGGGTTACAATATAACTGAGTATGGAACATTAAAGGGTTAAAATTACATTTGTCACCTGGAATATAGCCTACAAGCCACTAGCTACTAGGCTAGTGCAGTGAACTTAATATTAATATTATCTTTTTAAACAACATTAGAGAACATATCTGGCAGTTAAGTGCAAACATCCAATCCTAGCGGCTGTTCAGTAAGTCAAAAATGTCAACTTTTTGAAATAGTTCGGGAGAAACAGGAAGCAGGCATTTAAAACGCTTTAATTTGAGATAGGTAACCACTACTAGGTTCATTAAATGTGTGCCGAATTAAACAGCGAACCCTTATGATTAATTAAATACCATGTTTTGTTAGGTAGGGTATCTTTAATTCAGTATACGCAACATTTATTTATTTTTTATTTCCCACTATTTCTCCATGTTTGTCCTCGCGAGCGTTGTAGCCCTGGTCCGCCTCCACAGCGCGTGTAATGTCGGTTCGCTTCTTCAGAAAAGCGTACATTTATTCTGCTGTGAGAGACCAAATGTCGGTCAGTATAGTGTGGCAGCGCACTTTTCAACATTTTCTGACCGGTCTTGTGTGGCCTGTACCGGTGTTTGACTCTAAACGTCGTGATGTGTGTCGGTACTCACAGCACTGCAGGTAAATAGACCGCAACTTCCAGTGTCTATCCTGGTTTTTCCGCGTGATTTTGATGGACAGAGTGCTGAGACTGTTGTCGGGGATAGGGCAGGGGCTTGTTTGGTTTCTTATCTCCTCTGCATCGGTCGCCATCATTTTCACTACCATATCTTTCCCCCCTCCCCTCCTCCTCTTGACTCCTGCTCCCTCTTTCCTCCCGCCCCGCCCCTCTCTGTCTCTCGAAACGCGTGAACGCGCACGGTCCTCCGGATGCTGCACGGCACGCGCCTGATGGTGCTTTCAGGGTTTGTGGATGAGCATCGGCCTCAGCAGTACGGTAAAGGGAAAACGAACTTAAAGTAAGTGATGGGGAGAATACATTCAGCAGTCTCCTGGGTCACATGCAGCATCCACAGCTACAAATTCTACAGGCGAACTCTCTATGCAAGAGCCGTCGAGGCTTCAATTCACTAAATCAGAAAGTGTAGCCATAAGGCTAATGGTTCCCAGACAGAAGTGAACAAATACAGCCCTTTTTATTTTAGATTTTATAGCAACTCATGGGGTGTAAATAAACGTGAAGTGTAATGGTCCCACAGTGCTGCATTAAAAAAACCTCTCAGAATTGACTGGGAATTACAGTATGGGGGCTCATAAGAGACACAGGAAATAAATCAATGTATATATAACCTTCTTCCAAAAATGACATTTCTTATTTTTATGGCCATATTTTTAATTTGTTTGCCCATTTTTTATTTATTATATATATATTATTTTTATTTAAAGCTCTAGTGTGTAACTTTTAGGATATATTGGCAGAAATGCAATATAATATTCATAGGTATGTTTTCATTAGTGTATAATGACCTTCAAATAAAACGTATTCTGTTTTTGTTACCTTAGAATGAGCTGTCGCAGGTCACCTTCCATGGAGTCATGTTGAACCGCCTTGTTCCTACAGTAGCCCAGAACAGACAAACCAAACACAGACTGTAGATCGGGCTTTTGCATTTTTTTGTGAGTTTCGCAGCCACTGTAGTTTCTCCTACACACTCCACAGCCCGTTCTCATGCCCAGGTCGTCAAATAGAGACGCCAGTAGTGTTCAGTTAGTTGCAATCTGCAACTTCACCACTAGATGCCACTAAATCCTCTGGATCCTGAATCCACTGGTCCTTTAACTAAGTATAATATACTTAAATAACGCATGTACTTTATTACAATCTTGAGGTACTTTACACGAGTGTTTACATTTCATGCTATTTATACTTTTTATATTTATACTCCATTACACTGCAGTGAGGTTAATTATTATACTTTTTACTCCACCACATAACCTAAGTTACTTGATATGATATTATAGATCAGATGAGGCTTTATTGATGATAGTAGGAAATTCACAGACTACAGCAGTATATCAAGAAATTAAAATAAGCAACAAAATAAAACTCACCTAAATTTCAACTGTCATCTTGTTTTTTAGGCATCTGGGTCCTTGAGAAAACGTCCTGTATGTACTGAAAAGTGAAATATGAATGATGATGTTTTGGAAACAGTTCTGTCTATTGCTGTTTTGCCCTGACAATGTGTGGGATTTATCATGTAACTTTACCTGTCTGCACTAATCATGTGACTACTTGCCAACATGTAGCCCATGAGGTGGCCATTTTGTGGTTTGTAAGTATGACAAAGTAGCCATGAGACATTAAAGGCTTTTTTGAATCACTACCCACTCCATGCAGACAGTTTTGTGACTCACCAGAACCTTGGTTTTTCCACTGTTCCAACAATCACCAAGTTCAGTCGAAATAAGCCTTTAATTCACTGAGTTAGATGTGAAAATATCAGGAGAGGAGCAAGAGGGAGGTCTGACCTTGGTGGTGGTGTTGCACCTTTAACCACACCAAACGTTGTCACGATGTACAGACACATACTTTGTTAAAGTACTGGGGGTCAGCAAAAACAACATTATTTGTATACAGTCTGTGGCACTCACAGGAACAAAGGCAGATGCTTAAAATGTTCTTTATTGCATTAAAAATTCAACAAGATTCCAACAGTTTAGAGGAAAGGAAACATGCCAGAAAAATCCCTGCATAAACTACTGAAGTTATTTTGTCATGCATACAGAAACCAGGCCATAGTGAATCCTCAGATGATTGAATTAACAACAGTGTTCAATTTGAATGAATGTCACAGTCAGCTTATTTAAAAGTTACATTTCAAAACATTTCATATGCTACAAACTATTTCAGATTTTTTTGTTATTTTGGTTTTTAAAAGTACAATTCAGAAAACTACTAACAGAGTACAGTGTGAGCATTACTTCTGCGTAAATGCAAAGGCTCATTTGAGAATTCGTTTGAAACAGTAACATCACAGAGAACAATTTTGTGCAAATGCCACAATACAGCAGCCTCCAGGATTGTCTCATTCTGTTAAAAATGATCTAACATTGCATATTAGGTCAACCTACTCCAACTGTCCAAATAAATACTGTACACAGTAAACAGCTCATGGGTCAACCAAGCCAAGTCTTTTTCAACCTGTGAGTTGAGGCCTCTTTAGAGGTAGGCCCTGCTTGTGCAATGATTCATTTTGTACTCCAAATCATCACATTTATGTAAAGTTATGTTTTACTGACCTTAGAATAGTGGATACCTGTACCTGTACTCTCTAAGTTACCTCGAGTCATTAATTAAGCCAACTAAAAGAGATAATAAAACATTTTTGAGCAGATCTTTATGTACAACAGCGTAACATATAAGCATGAAGTCATAGCACAGTACTGAGCGAGTATGATGGATGTATTATCATGCAAGTACAAACCTAAATAGCCAAAACAGATGCTGAAGAGTCATGCTGTGAGGCAGACTTTTTATACTGTATCACATCAGGCCAACTGGAACCAAAATCAATTTTCAAAATGTTAGAAATCTATAAAGTGTATGCTTTGTCACACATTTATATCTATGTCCATGCTATAGTATGTAATGTCATACATGGTTGAATGATGATACAATACAGCAAACTGACAGACTTTACTAAAATGCCTGACACCTACAGCAATACCTGATGGTGCCCCTCCAGGACTTGGTGCTTCTTACAGTATGTTAAGTTTGTGCCACAGTGACAGCATCAATATACAGTATGTCTTACTATAAGACGATACACAATATTCACTGGTTTTATAAAATGAACGAAGAGCAACAATGCAACTTTTCTCTCAAATGGGGAACATAGCCTACTGGTTTTTTCATATTCAAGATGGTGATTTGAAGTCAATAGTAGGCGTACCACTGGTTCATTCCTGGAAGCAAATAAGATAAATAGACAAAAAGATAAAATAAAGTTTTAAATATAATGTGTGTGTATATGTGTGTGTGTGTGTGTGTGTGTGTGTGTGTGTGTGTGTGTGTGTGTGTGTGTGTGTTTAGTGTGTTTTGAAAATGGCAAAAGTTGTCCTACAAGACTGACATAGAAACCAAGCACATCAGTGAACTTTAAATTCAAAAGCCAGTCACCATTTCCCGGAAGTCAGATTATGAATCCATGCATGTCCCTCCCTACTCTGCCTCTGATTGGCTTACCCTGATATTTCTACCCTAACCAATTTCATAAACCTAACCATTGCTGTACAGTTTGGCCACTATGTCAAATCAAAGCCTGGTGCTCTTCCTGTGGGCTTGATTAGTGTTCATAACTTGACTTCCTGGAAGTGGTGACTGGCTAATTACTTATTAACCCTGTTAATATAATAATAATAATAATAATAATAATAATAATATACATATACATATATATATTTAAAACCAACATCTTTTTGTCTATTTAAGCAACTCAGCGTTTTCTGGACTGACTGAATTTCTGGAATGATAATACAACACAGGATAGTTACAGTTATTGTTATTTTGTCTTTACACTGTTAACTAGCAACTAGTCCCTTTTAGCAAAGCCTCGTGTTATTGTTAACATTGCTAGTAAAAAGGTGCATTCAGATTGAACATAACCTAAATTTCATGCGAAGTTGGGGCAGCCAATCCGACTGTAGCTAGCTAACAAAGGTGCCACTAAAACTTACTTTGCATGCTGTCTGAACACACTTTAAAGGGATAGTCATTTAGAAGGGCCTGTTTTTAGGTGACTAAAGCAGGTTTTGTTACGGCCACAGCAGCACATGGTTTAGCTTGCATGCTCTTGTCTGCCTCTCCAAGCTGGGGGTGGGCTGACTGCTGTTTACTGTAACTAATACACTGACTATGGATGAGTACTTCATACAACTCAAACTATCCCTTTAATGCTAGCGTCAACTAGTTCTAGTGAAAAGCACATTTACAGTACACTAAATACACAGTGGTGGGTAATAGATCAGATTCTACAGCTGACTGTCTGCTCAGAGGAGAGGACCTCTCATAGTGCATCATATTGATGAAAATCTGGAGCTAAATCAATTTTTTGGTATTCCATTTGACATACTACTAAATTAAAGCATTTTTTTTTCTGATAAAAGGCACATGATTTAAAGCAATGAACATTTATATTTTTGATCCCTGAAAAGTTTTTATTTTCTAAAATTAGTTCTGCAAACTGGACAATTAAATACAAATGATCAATTTACCTTATAAAATATTGCGTATCAAATCTTTGCTTCAAATGGAGATGTAATTCATTTAAAAGAAACACCATATTATTGAGACTAAACATGAACGTTTTTGAATGCATCATTATGACTGTGGAAACACCAAGAATAAACCAACTATGTGGGCAATTAAAGAAGCAATTTGCAAACAATGCTGTTGGTGTCTTTCCAGATGCTAAATCATTTCTCAGAACATTTTAAAAGTATGTAAACTCTACAAAAATTCATACTTAATAAGAAATTACAAGCTGCGAAATCCATCCCATGCCCTCCCACCCTTCCATCATGCTAAAAAAGTCTATCACATTCAAACTATTACAAACAAGTTAAGGTATGAAATTTTTTTTTGATATTATAAAATAGTGCTCTACTCATTTCTTTCCACACAAAGACTACTCTAGTACACATCATGCCTAACTACAAAAAACCTGAAGCCCCATTTACCAGTAGTTTTCATATAAATGTTGAATCACAGGACTCCCTGTAATTTGAAAGGATTGCTCGAGCTGCTGAACTGTGGTTTGCAGCTTTGGGTGGTTATATTGAGCGATTTGGTTACAGCTCGAGAACCATAAACCAACAAACACTAATGCTCTTCCTCACAATAATAATGTTTTTTGAATACCATTTCATATTAATAATTAGCTATTAAACAGTAACAAAAAAAAGATTCATTGCTCAGGTCTCTATTCGGGTTTGTGCAGGCTATTAAAACCAGCACATCCACCTTAGATTCCTAAATCTCTAGTCATGAGCAGAGCAAACTGCTGCACAATGAGAGAGATCACTGCATGGCGGCATTCATTAGCAAGAGAATGTGAGGAGAATAAAGAGAAAGAGGACGCAGAGAGATAACACTGGCTGTTGCCACTTAAAACATTAAGAGTTTGCAGGAAGCAGCACAGTCATTGAGAAAATGGGAGAGAATGACAAGTGGAGATAGAGCGCAATTGTCAAACAGTGCATAATGGTTGTAAATGCATCCAGCTGGAATTACTGTGTGTTGTGATGCTGTTTAATTTCACTTGTTTATGCTAAAACATTTGAGGGGTTTTGCCACATCTACTCTGTATGATTGTTATGAATGCTACACAGGACTTTATGGGTAGCCAAGTAGTATGGCAGCATTTAGCAGTATGGTGTGATTCAGACTAGATGAGAGAAATGATCAAGATGTTAATGTTTAATAACAGCCATGTTTGTCTATAAATATTAGTATGTTACTTTATCATTTTCCCCCATTGTTTCCCATATTTAGCTGTTGGTCTCTGTCATTGCCAACCCCCCTTGTTGGTCTGTCACAGATTACCTACCATGTGCCTCCTACAAAGGACATCACCACCTGCTTCTTTTCACCTGGCAGTGAAGAGCTGGACCAGTTTTACCAGCAGGAGAAGCTAGTGTGAACAACAAGGACATAGTCCCCCACCAGCTTCCCACCTGCAAGCACTGCCAGTTACTGCGGGTGTAATTTGGAGCTCCAGGTCAAGCCAGAGGCATTGGTAACCAGGTATTGAACCCAGGTCTCTGCAGTGATGAGTGACTTTTAGATGCTGTTCACTCACTACACTGCAGGATGAAAAAGTTCAGTTTCATTTGTATTGCTTTAAGCAAGCGATTCCTTGAGTAGCTGTGTTTCTGTGTTTTAAATACGAGTTATTGCTCTAACAAAAGTGGCGAGCCATAAAATGCCACACTGATCGTAGAATGGCTTATTGCATAACTAGGCCCTTATGGGTAATAGGGTGTTAGAATTGTACGGTTGTCAGGTAAAACAATTATATAATTAATCCAAAGATAATTCCAGTAGCCTATTTTTTAACCATAATCTCATGACTTTGACCATTCTAATGCAATCTTTGCTCTCCCATCTCCGACTCATGAAGAACAACTTGAGAAAAACAGTGCATATCAGGGCAAACTGCATGAGCCTCTCAAAGATTTCTAAATGAAGTTTAACAGTAAATAATTTAAGACTTGTCTCAGAGTCCAAATGAAACACAGAAATTGCCTCCCTGGATTAGCTTTGGTAGCTAACTGGATAGCTACCTGGTTACTCAGCTAGCACTTGGTTCATACTTAATATTTTATTCAAGTTTTAGAAAGCTGCTTGCTCCGATATACCCTGTGTTTCCTGTATATCTACATTGTCGGTGGTGAGTACAAAGTTTGACACACAATTACAAGAATAAGACCCAGGTTATAAAATACCACAATGTCCCTTTATGAGCAACCTATGGAAACAAGTAGCATCACAAAGGGACAATGACCTAACCTGGACATGGTCAAGGACTTTTCAGCTTACCCCCAACTCCTAGTGTGTGTATCATTTAACACATTTCTATCGTAAACATGGCTACACCTGTACAGACAGAATACGTATATTTTGACATTTTCCTTAATCAGATAACAAGTATTTTCTCAAAACCTCCTGTGCTGGGATTTGCCTCTTATTACAGGTACTTTCATTGGAAGAAGATATAGTGCAATTTGAACGACCCCACTGTGTCAATATTATTTGCATATCTAAGAGCTAGTGTGCAATTAGTTAGTTTCAATACATTCATCAATCAGAAAACAGATTTCTTTTTACAATACATCATATGAAAACCATTCAAAAAGTCTAAAACTTCTCACTATATTTTGGACTGCATATTGTTGTCACTGATTCAATATTAGTTACTGAGGAAGAGTGGAACCATGGGAATAAGCGATGGTTTGGGAGTTTAAATCTCTTTTCTGGTAAGCAGTGTCAATGTGTGGATTCCCTCTGATTCTTAGATTTTCCAGCACTGTAGAGTGAGTAAGACATGGTTTTCGTTTGGAGGGTCAATTGTATTTTAATATTTGCATTTTATTTAAAAGGTGCAATATGTAAGAATTGGCCACCTGTCAAATTCATACTTGAAATAAATAGGGTACTGTATATCACCATAGTAACCCGTCCTATTAGCTGTATCTATGTCTATGAGCTGACTCTGTCCGGTCTGGGAGCTCAGAGCACCAGGAGAGTGTTGGTGTTTCACTGGACTGCAGACAGAGGTGTACAGGCCTTGGGGAGAGGGGCCCAGTGGGGAATGCTGGTGGGAAGCAGCACCAGACTGGGAGCTAGAACTGGTGTAGGCAATGGAACTGGGCTTACCAACCTCTCAGGACTGAACACAGCCTCTGAAACCGACGGGGGCCAGTTTGACTACAGCCACTAACTATGGCCTCTTAAAGCACAAAGCTGGTTAACATGCTAACTTCAGTGGATATCTCTTGTAACACAATACATAGATGTCTAGATGACATAATTTCAAAACTGTTCTGTCAACAAAGTTTTTAATGTTTTCAACTAAAATTCTTACATACTGCACCTTTAAACTTGATAGACTTGATCAGTGGCAGTTTTTGCTCTGGAGTGCATCGAAGCTCACTGGTGGGCGTGTGTCAGTCAGGATCATATTCTATCATTTGGGTAATTTTCAAACAAGTCCAAGCCAAAGCACACCAGCCTTTCAGCAGACCGGATGGCCCTGAGGATGAGAGACAGAGACTGGGTCATGGTGCTGTGGCAAATTACTTCCTTCTCTGCAGAGCTGCGTTTGACTGCTTTGCTGGTGACGTTGCAATGCAGGGCGGCTTCCTGTGAGAACCTGAGGATAGAAAACTGAGGAGTCTTCCCTGGAAGGCTGTATAACAGGTTCCTATCAAGAGAGAGAAAGAAAGAGGAGCGTGTCAATGAATAACGTAGCAGAAGCAGAATGTGACTTGAGAACTATAGTTACAGTAGTCTTTTAAAATGATGATTTCAGATAATAGGTTTGCCCTTGGCCACAGCTTGCACTAGTCAAAAGGTTTTATTCTTATGCCATATTGTAAGTGTAAGAGGATTTTACTCAATGGGATAAGTAGTGTCAGTCTGAAACCTGAAATATTCTTTTTTCCATTTTGTTCGTAGAATACCAATAAGGGGCACTGGCACTGGAAGGACGGTTTGTGTAAATCAAATGTATTCAAAGGACAACTTAACATGCTGTTTTAGCTTTAACATACCTTCTTCACATTTAAATCCACAGCATCCCCATTCTGATTTCTTTTCAAGTTACAACTCCAAATGACAGTTATGTGTGAATTAATTCTGGATGACAGACAGGAGATAGCATAACAATGTCTTATATTTCGTGTGCGCTACAAGGCATGACGCATTTTTTTATTTTTTTGGGTCTAGAACAGTGATTCTCAACGACTGGGACAATCTGCATAGTGTCGGCCGCAAAGATGTGATCTGACAAGAACCGATCATCCATCCACCCCAACCCCTCCCCTCCAGATGGTGTTGGTGGACACATTAATCATGGTGGATGTAAAGTCACAAATAAATGCAGGTTAGTGTATAATAACCTGAATATAGGAATTTTATCTACAGTTGTCCACCATTTTAAACCAGTGGTACAGTAGCCCAGAATGGACAAACCTAACACAGACTGTAGATCGGGCTTTTGCATGTTTTTTTTAGTTTCGCAGCCACTGTGTAGTTTCTCCTACACACCTGACAGCCCGTTCTAATTCCCAGGTCATTAAATACAGTCACAAGTGATATTTAGTTAGTTGCAATCTGCAACTTCACTACTAGATGACACTAAATCCTACACACTGGTCCTTTAAAGCTGGGGTAGAAGCTTTTTTTTGCCATCATTAGGCAGAAATGCCACACAAATGTTTCAGCATATTGTAATTCAACTGGCGGGAGAGAAAACTAGACTTCTGCTCCTCTTGGCTCAGTTTATACACTTTAGACATACTATTGACAGACTTCTCTGTGTCTGAGGTTGGTGTGACACTCTAATGATATGGCGCCCCACTTCCTGAGAAATCTCAGCTGTTTCTTGTCCCTTGCCGCTGAGGCAGAGTGTTGCTGAGGCAGTCGCGGTGGAGAGCGGGCACAAGGTTTCATAGGGCAACTGCTGCTGTTCAAATTTATGGGTTTGGTGGGGAGGGGCTTAGTGGAGTGATAAGAAGCAGGAGAGAAATAGGTGGAATGTTTTGCATTGTGTGTGTTCAAAATACCTTCTGCAGCTTAAACTGAATGAAACTATTTTCAATTTACTCTTTCAATTAACTTTTATTTTGCCACTTTATCTTGACTGAATGTGTTTTTTGTATAAATCCCTCTCCAGTCAAAAGTCTGTTTTTCTTACCGTTAATTCACATGGATGTTTGAGCTTCCAGCTTCACTGTGCAGATTGATGTAGGTGCAGAGTTAGTTTTCACATTCATCTGCTGAAAGTCTGTGTCTGTGCTGATCTTAAATCTCTAGTAGGAGACATCTTGTATCCAATACATTTACATATTTATAGATTCTGGATTTTTGAGAAGATGTTATTGAAGCAGATTATTTGTATATGTTTAAATCATATGGATAGGATCTTTCAAAGTAGAATCAATCTGGTTTTGATCAGCACTGCTGCTCTGAATCAATTAGCTACCCTCAAGCAACACTGTGGATTTTCAAATTAAAAGCATACAAGATACAAAAATGTGTCCCACAAAAACAAACACACACACACACACACACACACACACACACACACACACACACACACACAGACCACACACAGACAAGTTTATTGCCAGTCTCTGTTGACTTTCACATCACACCAACACATTCACCACCATATCCTCACGCACAGGCCCTACTCTTTGTTTTCGTTTACTCTTTGTTTGCAGTGTGTTTGTTATGTTTCACTTGTCTCAAGGTTTGTGTGTTTGCTAGTTTGTGCGTCCACCTCTATTTATTTACCTGTTTTGTTAAAGAAAGTTTTAACTTTTAACATGAACAATCTGCGGAATGTGTTCGGTTTTATTTGCTTTACACTAAAGGAGAAGACGGGAAAACTGGAATTAATTAGTGAATAAAAACAATATTTCTGTTTCAAACTAGGAGCATGACTTTGTTGTACAAAGCAATAAATGCTGTGAAAATGTATGCTATATTGAATTTATCAACCCAATATGTAAATATGGAGGAAGTTTAAAGTTTGCATAACTGAAGAACAGTGGAAATTAGAAAATATAAAATATAAGTCTGTTCCAAATAACACCAAATAAAAGTGGCCATACATATAATTTACTAAATCAAACAAGTAGATTTAGTGTTATGTTACTCTACCCCTACCGTTTCCCCTACCGTTCTATATGTATGTAGCAACTCTTGGTGTCAAGAGTAGCATGTTAATCTCAGTCCTGATTCAAATGGATTTTAGAAGCTTGAACACAAAAAAGTTTCGTGTCAGCCAGCCAACCTGCAGCCAATTATCATTTACAGGCCAAATTATGCTAAACTGCTCGGATTTGACACTCAGAGACTAATGTGAAATATGAAAACCTCTTCATTCATATTTTGACCTCTGCTTAAGTTTTTGCCGCAACTAAGTTACAAACACGCCGCACCATATGAATTATTGTCCTTTAAAGACCCCTCTATCTATGTCTCTTTGTCTTCCTGTCACACGCACTGGTACGCACGCACACACAAACACACAGCAAAGCACATATATAAACACAGACGAGCCTTTGGGGGTAGCAGAGTAGTCATTTGTAGGTCAGAATGGCAGAGACTTCAGAGTGTTGCTCTCCTCGGGGCTGAAGTACATTGATTTCTCTTAAAGTGGCTCAACAGAGAGTCTTAGAGAGTAAATGGAGTGATTCTTCATCTGTTAAGACACAGGTCGTGAGCTGTAGGGTGTGAAGGAACACTGACCTTCAGCACACAATTTAGACTCAAAGTCAGGGCACTGTGAAGATTCTGTATCTACCACCATATGACACCATTATACGACCCAGTGAGGCTCCTGTGAGTAGGGTGTTCAGGCTCTCCTAATAAATATGTGTTGACATTGTTAGTTAAGTAAATTAATATAAAAAGGTTAATCAATGAATACAAGCAGTTGTCACATTCACCACAATGTCCATGTTTGCTTTGTATCTATTTTGCTGCAACATACTTTAGCTCATGAATGCATTATGTGGCAGCCAGCTCTCATAAGTTTGATTTCTGACCAGCATACAAACACATAAGTCAGCAGCAGACTTTCAAATGAGTCGGCACTTTCATACCATGATAAAATACTACTGACAAAAATAAAAGAACAGACATTGATATAAGTTGTACTGAAAAGAATGGAAAACGTTTTTTTTTAGTGGAAACGTTTTTGACATGCCACAACACAGGTGCAAATGACAAAATGAAGGACGGAATTCCATTTTGCTGCTTAGTAATACCTGGGCTTTCTGCTGTGAGAAAGGGCCATTGGTTTGGCAAAACACTAGATTATGTTTAATGATTTACATTACTTTTCACTTTCTACAATATCTGTGCATGAAAAACGATATAGTTAAAGTTAGGGGAAAGTGGTTATAGTTAACGTTAGGTCACTAAAACGCAGATTTTGGCTACTTGGGGGCAGCACAACAAGCTGGAAACACAACATTGAGTTGTAAAGTTGATACGGCTAACATATTAGCAAACAGTCACCAATTTACACATGCAGCAGAAATGGAGGAACATTTGCATTCCTTTTCAGTTGTGCCTGATCAATTTAAGTACAACATTCACTCCCCTTTTAGCTCTTGGATAGGAGAAAATCTGGCTATTTAGTGTTTCACTATGTTCACCTGCTATTTTCTAACTTTGTCTGGCTGCTGTTTATTGCTGGGAAGGTTGTGTAGTCAGTTTATCAGAGCTTTTTCTCTATAAACTGCTGCCTGCCTGACAGTGCTGGGAGACTGAGTGAACAGTTAAACTGTGAGCAGTTAAACCAAAACAAAGAGCTGAAAGATGCTAAAAGGTTCAGTAGAGTTGAGAGAAACTGCAAAGTTAAGTGATAAATAAAAACAATGCCTTTCAAGTTACATATAGTCATGCAACACATTGTTTAATAAAAATATGTATTACTGCAGCTTTAAGGTTAAGGTATGGTCAGGGTTAAGGAACTAAGGATGTGGGTATGTTTAGGAAAAGATTACAGGTTGTAGCTAATATTAACATTAACTGAATGGGAGCATTGATTGCAGATCTGTGACGGGACACAAACTCTGCTGCATGAAAGCCTGAGATGCTGCACACCCATCCACCACCTCGACCACCACACCCTAACTTTCTGCCTCACCCCCTATATTGGCACCGAATGTTGACACTACGTAAATCGTGAAGTTCTGAATCATCCTACATGGCTGCAATTCCTTGGGATACTGGGATGAGAAAAACTACATAGATTTCACTTTGTAAGCTTTGGAACATGATCCGCACTAACTTGAAGAATGCATGATTTGACGGTGATTTAGAAGCTTAAAACATGCACAAACTGCAGTTTAGTCAAGTGATTTTTGGCAGAATATTAAAACTCAATAATACGAATAATACTCAACAAATATGTACAGAACTGATTTTTGTAATATATGAATCATTTGTGCTATGTTGAATATTGCATGAATATTTGGAAACATCCCTACTGTGAAGAGTCAGTAATAAAATTGATTTCTAAAGGAAGACAGAGTCAGACAGAGAGAATGTCTCTGCCTTGCATTAGGAAGTGCTTGAATGAGCTTGCCCATAGAAAGTAGAGTTTTTGTGCTATCAGTCAGTATTGTGCTCACGTCCTGTACATAGCTCTAACCTTGTAAAACCAAATAAATCTCAAGGATGGTTTTGTTTTGCTGGGGAAACAAGTCTATATAAAAAAACATTTTACCCACTGGTCATTGGCAGCTGAGATACAAAGCCTGGTGTTTTAACACTGAGACCCTCATCCATCCATTGTCTGTACCTGCTTATCCTGTTTATGGTCCCAGGCTGAGCAGTTATCTGAGCACACACTGAGCAAAAGGAAGGACACATCCCTGGACATGACACCAGTTTACACAGGGCTGGCATAAGCCTTTTTCAGACAGGGAATCTGTTAAATTGCTGGCTTCATCAGTCTGTTTCAAACATAGGTCTCTGGGGCAGAAACAGAAATTTCCTAAGTCTCCTAATCCTATCTTATCTTAGTTTAGGCTGACATTTAGCATTTTTGGTACAACAACTGCATTTTAGGAAAAATTCCTTTCTTCATTTAGGATTGAATTAATGTAGCTGCTTTTAAAGGGAATGTGAGATGACGCTCTGATTGGTTTATTGCACGTTACGCCCAAACCACACCTATGACTAATGTAGCTACTTCAGACCAACCCATTTTAGATTTGCGCCGGGCGCAAGAGTCATTTATCCCGCCGGCATAATAGCAACAGCGCCCGAGATCCACCCACAAAGCTACTTGCGTTTTGCGTTTGATACTTGCGTTTCAGATCGGCAAGATAGGGCCCCTGAGCTTTTCTTGTCCATTATAGCAAGCTAGCTAGCTAGTGAGAAGCTAGTGAGAAGCAAAGTGAGGCAGACGTTGTTGTTATATTCAGTATAGAATACAGGCAGTCTTATAATTTAAACACACTGAAAAACCACATTAGTTAATTTAACCAAAAAACTGTTGAAATGGATTACATTGGACATTTTAAGTAAACTAACTAAAGTTAATAAAAATACCTAGTAATATATATTCAATCAGGAATGTTTCTGTCTCTTACAAAACTAAGTTAGTGTTACTTAAAAAAAATAACTTATTGCATTACAGTGTACAGAAACAGGCATGACGAGTTTACAGTTCTAGCTGTGATTTCTTAAGATAAAATAGGCGGTCTGAGATAGGATAGGACACATGAGTTTAGGTATTGCTTTGTTAATAGAAAGATAGGAACTTCCTATTGTTTATTTGCATTTCTAAATGAATGTAAAGACAGCAACAGTGAGGCTCAGCTATAGAGCTTTGAGCTAGTGTTATTTTTGTAACAAATGAACCAACAGCGCTAGCTATGGGGAAGCCACAACCGGACAGAAAATAAAGAGGTGTGGAGAAGTCAGTCAAGAGTGTGAGAGGGAAAGAGAGACATCATTCGAGAGTTAATGTGTCCATCTGTTTGATGGTTTGGTTTCTTGTGGCTTTCAATGTACTCCAAGAACAATGTTCTGGAAGATACATGACAAACTTCAAGGGGCAGAAATTTTGAGGTACAGGAACGACATATCATGTTAATATATCATACCATTACATCTGATATTTAGTTGGAAAGTCTGATGCAGTAGCTAAGAACCATGACGTAAAGTAAAGTGGAGATTGGCGTACCTCCACTTTGCAAACCATAGAATGTAAAACTTGTCAGGCACTTAAAAAATGAATCTAATAAAAAAATATTGGGAACTGCAATGACCAGAACAGAACATAAACGAAACAAACAAAAAACAAAATGGAAAAAAGTGCATCAGAGCCAACGGAATCTTGTCTGTTCTCTAACCAACAGACTGTCATCCACCGTCTGTCTGTGAATATCCAGTTAAGAAAGAAGTCTTTCTGAAGCAGAGTGTACATAAAGACATCTGCTATCGATTGGTGTGGCCCTCGGCAGCCTGACATCCACTCTTAATAGAGCCAGACTCCTGCTCCCCAACACAACAAATTGGGTTTAAACTATGTCTAGTGGTCCCAGGTGTCACTCATGCTGGAGCATCAGCATCCATTCTACACTGACAGCTGCATAGTGTCTGTGTGTTCTGGTACCTCCTTGTGAGAAGGTTTACTTTCAAAGGGAAAATATTTCAGTTAACCCTCACTTTTGCAATAGGACATTTAAAGATAAGGTCAGATAAAGTCAGGGTATTGATTTTGGAAGTCCAATTCCAGGTATTTTACATCCCAAAGATAGAAGGATGCATTTAAACAAAAACAAACATATGAATCCATTCATATCCAATATGCTTGGATTTGGGTGCTATCTTTTTCATTGGAAAAGGAACCTCTCTATGCATATGTGAAAGTTGGAATATTAGCACATTGGTTTTTGAAGTCACACTTCAAATCTAGTATGTAAACGTCCAAAACCAAGATTGCCCTCAAATATCAATATTTTCTAAACTCATAAAGCAGGTCCACATACAGATTTTAGGAGATTTTAGTTTAAGATAGAGGAAATTAAACCATTTCAACGCACCAGCATATTGATTCTTGGATGTCACATTGCAAGGCTATTCACTTTTCCAAATCACAATTCAAACTTAATGTACCAAGACCTCCCTCCTGATTCAATACAAAATTTCCAGTTTCAGGCAGCTCTACATCTGGATTTTGCATTTTGGTTTAAGATACTGGAGATGAAACCTCTGTGTGGAAATGCATTATTATGCATACCAATTTTGTCACATTCTCAGGTCCTTCATCCAAAATATGTTATCCAATTCCAGTATGGAATTTCCAGAATCAATATGCAGCTCCACATACTGATTTTGAATGTTTGCATGCTAGAAATGGAACTTCTGTGTGCATATTGGTTCTAAAAACCAGCAGAGTATGTCAGCTTTCAAATAAAACCTTGAAGGTTCTGTTCTATGAGCAGGAACACGCTGATTTATCGTGTTATCAGTTTCAGCGTAACATATACAGTATGTCCATATGTGGGAGATCACCTTATTGGATTTAGACATCAGCATATTGATTTTGGAAGACACAGTCCAAGTCTTTCACCAATAAAATATCAATCAGATCCAGTTCTTCCTTGGTGTGACACTTTGCAGTCACTTTAACCAGCCAGTGAGGTTCATTGCATTTATAAGCCTAGATAAAGTCTACTGGAGCCAAACACGTAACCTGTGGTATAAATGTAACATGAGTGAATGAAAAGAACAAGTTAGGCTGGACTTTATTGATGTTTCACTCCTATCATTGTTGAGTTGCAGTTGGAGGCAATTCCAATGCTCATATATCATGCAAGCTAAATAAAGTTTCCTTGGCATGTACCTCATTTGGCTTAAACATTCACTGCATCTAAGATATTATTATTAACACCCAACAAGAGAGAGAGTTTGTTGTGTTAAATGTAAAGTGGATTTATAGCATTACAAGAATATCCTATTTGTTAAACATGTTGAAGAAAGGTCCAAGTGGAGCTTTTGACTTGATTCAATCTTCCTATGGTTGCCTAGGTTTGCATCTAATTTACATTACAATTCTATGTGACATATTATGAAAGGCTGCCATTATGTGTCAGATTGGCACCCACCTGTCACTCAAAGTGGCCAAGTCCTTAATTATGCATAACATTAAGCCTTAATATAATGTAAACAGGTGAGTTATAGTTCCAATGCAAGTCTTTCCCCCACACCAGTATCTGCTTTTTGTCCCCTACAATCTGCCTGGTTCCTGACATTTCCTCAAGATCCCTGTGCCAACTGGCTATAGAGGACGTGATGTCAGTACCTAGTCTGTATGGTAGCTTCTTTCCACAACCCAAAGTAGAGGCATTTTTAAATATGAGGGGAAATATCCTTAATATTGTCCTGTGTGGATTCACAAGTTGCATTCATGTATTGTGTGAGTGGTGTTGTCAGGGTTTGTTGAGGTCTTCATCACGTCTAAAACCTAACCTAAAACTGAAACATTATGTATGGGTACATTTTCTTGTGTTTCAGTGTTGCTTGTGTGATTGAATATTTTTACTGCAGTGCGTTTAGTATGTACGCTGAGTTGCAGAACACTACACAGAGTTTTTGTGTGGCTTTCACCAATTTCTGTGAGAGCACTCTGCATTCAATCATAGGAAGCATAATGTCATTACAGTTTTCAAGATCTCTTGAACAGAACAAGAGAATACAAAGAGGAATGGACAGAGATATGCATCCATTGTGTGTATGCTCATACTTCAGTACTTGGATCAGTGCCTTCGCCTGGCAGTCACACCTTTTGTGGCCAGGCTCAAGGCTCTGTTTACAGACAAACTGTGCCACCTATCCAACTAAGTCAAGCCACTGAGCTGTCATTTATTATTCTTTGATTTAGGTTAAAATGTTGGGCTGTATGTTTTGTATTTTTGTAATGTTATGGAGAGCTTATTGAATACTGACTTATGAACTCTGCCACTAACTACTAATGTTAGTTTAAAGACACAAAGGGTTGTGACACATGAGATGATTTACTGAAATTCTGCAGATTTAAATATTTAAATAATATATTTGGCTTTATTGTAGGATAATGCTATACAATATTCTAATTGTTACCCATCTTGTAAATTATCTATATTATTGATCAAAATAATATACAGTGTAATGCACACTGTAATATTCTCCAGAGTATTGATTCCAAGGTTAAGCAAGAACACAGCAGCTTTACAGTTGTATAACTTTGGCATTTAAAACTGGACCAGAGTTGGAACCCCTCAGAGCACACAGCGAGACCACCAACTTACCCTGTTGGTGACCGAGACTACTTATTATCCTGAATCTCATTCCAGTGTCAGTAGCAACTGTGTCTTTGAGCTGAAATCTTTACAGGTCTGCGCTGACTTACCAAATACCCATCACTATAGCTCATAGCAGTGAGATACACAGTAGATGGCATTATCCGGAATTAGTTTTAAGGTTCAGTGTGCAATTTAATGAGAGGTTACTTAACACAAAGATCATGCCACAAAAATACAAATCATAAGCATCCATATATGTGCTTACCTACCTTATAGGTTTTGTTGCTTAAAACCATCAAAGTAAACATGTTAAAGACTGTTCATCAGTGTTCATAGTCTAATTGTCTTGGTCTTGTGGGGGAATGGTAACTTCCTTTATAAATGAGTGCTATTAAGCCTTAATGCTTTCCGAGCATGATGGAGCAGCTAATTTTAGCTTGGATGCTAATGGAAGTCGAGGACAATTAACATGTCTATTACTGCCATAAACTGTGAATAACACTGAACAGCAGAGGCCATTTATTCCGTTAGAATCTCGTTGAAAAGTAGACAGCTGAAGTGCTGTGGGGGAAGACAGAGTGTGTACCAGACACTGAGGATGCTGAAATCAAACCGAACAGAGGTGTTACTTTATGAGATAGAAATATAGTTGTTGAGAAAAAGTCCCCACTATCAGTCAAGGTCAGCTGTCCTCCAACTAAATGTGATTTGATATGATTTATTGTGTTTATTCTTTAGCTGGACAGTTTGACTAAAATAACTTCACCAACTAATCTGGAGCTCTCACTTTCTTACATTCGCCGTGCAGAGCCAATGAATTACTGCTGCGCTGCCCTGAAAAGCTGCTGCTGGGAAAAAATTCAAACACGGTTGTCTGTAAATTATTCCTCTTTTCCCTTTTTTTGCCAGAGAGAATAAATATGTGTTCACTGTGAAGCTCAAGTTTTATGTTGCATTATTGCTGTTCTGCTCCGTATGTAGAACAAGATGAAAAAGAAGTGGATGCACCCAATGCAAGACAGAAGGCTGACGGGGGATTTAAATCATGGCTGCCACGGTATAGGACTGCATGTGATTTACGGACTGTGGGAAAATTATTAGGGCAGGGAGAGGGGGTCAGAAAAGGGGGAGCGTTATGTATTTTCTCCCGTTTTCTGTGTAAAAGTGTATGTTTGTAGGATTATTACTGTTGAGGCCACCATCAGTACTCTAGTTTTTTTCCTCCTTCGCCTTTTCTGCCCATCTCATAGGGGCTTGGACAGTGAGGATTTTACCACCTTGGACTGTTCGCAGACCCACAGGAAGGTCCATGCAAACTCACCACTCTTCCTATTTTGTTTTACTTTTAGGCGGTATACTTTTCTTTAGTTTTTGTGTTTTTAAGAACTATTTTTTGCTCTTATTTTTGGGGGATGCATGCAACAAAGTTTGGTTAGAGATTAAAATTGACGCTTGCATATCTAACATTGTGAAACGGTCACACTTCTGTTATGTTAAGGCGCAAAAACTACTTGGTTATGTTTTAGGAGAAGATTAAGTTATATACAATTCTGTATATAACTTAAAAGAAGTTAACTTTGACTTTTGGTTTCAAACGGGACACAAACAGTGGTTACCTGGGTTGGAGATGTCCACCCCACCTCCTCTATATGCAGACTTTTGGGCTTTTTATATTACATCTGGCTGGCAGGTCCATAAATAATGTTTCAAGGTCAAGTGTGTAACATTTAAGAGGCTCTATTGGCAGAAATGAAATATAATATTCATAGGTATGTTTTCATTAGTGTATTATCACCCTAATATAAGAATCGTTGTGTTTTTGAGACGATTTTATCTACAGACGCTGTAGGTTGCCTAGTTTTTCCTACACGCTTCACAGCCCATTCTCATTCCTAGGTCGTCAAATACAGACGCCAGTAGTGTTCAGTTAGTTGTAACCTGCAACTTTACGGCTAGCCACTAAATCCTACACACTGGTCCTTTAAGGCTGGAGTCTTACATATCCTCGAATTGTAAAGCAGAGGGCCATATTATGGGTTGGACTGAGACCAGACTGGTTGACAAAAATAGCCTAGAGCTGAAGTGAGTGCTTCATATTCTGTGTTAAATAGTTTTCTACTGACAGTTTGTAGTCTTTAGTCTTCTTGTATACAGTGGGAGGAGAAAAACTCTGAAAAGCTATCTTGGCCTTTTGTCCTGCTCTTTTGAAATGGTGACTAACTTCAGTTAAGCACTTTCTATCTATACTGAAGTCACACATACCGCCAGCCTTCAAAATCCCATTGTGATAAATATAAATATAATTATAAATAACTGCAATGCACAACTCATATTGTGAAGATGGATGAATGTGAAACTGCTGAATGTCAAACACACCTCATGAAAAGTCCTGCTGCTTTGGCAAAATACTGTACCAGCAACAACCACCTACATACTTTGATACCAAAGACAAAGTCAGAATCTGGAGAGTATGTGCCAAGATCTAAAGTCTGCTAAATAAAACAAAAACAAAAAATGTTTTAAAATTTTTTAAATGTTTGGTGATGCTTTTTTAATAGAAATAAGATTCAGCTTCCCTTCCCACCCAAACAATTTCCATACAGTGCCCTCACTGTAACTCTAAATGTGATCAGCAAATTGAAATTCTGGGTTTGGCCTCAGGAATTGCCGTCCCATAATGACTACTGGTGTGTTCCAAATGTTTCACAGGCAGAGCAGGAACTGTTTGGATGAATCATGGCCAATGCTACAGGCCATTGTGTTCAAACAGGTGTAACCGACCACCTTGTTCTTTGTCTGCCAGCTCGTTATGAATAAGCCAGGTTTACACTCCATTCATTCAGCATCAGTGGGCCACCAGTATAATCACTGTGCTCAAAATGGCCTTAATGTCCTTACTATGAGGTTTTGCACACTAAATAGTTTACAATAAATAAAGGCCCCTTTAATTACCTATTTGATGGCAGCATATCAGATTAAAAAATAACTTTTGGGATCAAGTCATAACTCCAGGGGATACACACTTTCAACACAACATAATCTTCATTTAGCTCTTCTTTATTTAGGCAGTCAATGAATGATCAAACTGCCTTTAAAAGGATACACTGTAAACCCAGCATATCTTAATAAACGAAGTAAGTTAACATAACTTGATCCTCCAAACAATGTGGAGTCACTCAATCCCATGAATTTAATCAACTCAAAAATGAATTGTTGAAGTAATAACTAATATAATATATAATAATTATAATGACATAATTCCAGTTTGTTCCGTATACTTACTTTCTTTAGGTTGACTTCATATCAGGACAAAAATGTAAGCCCCACTGTGCTATAATGCTTAAGACTTTTCAATTTTTGTTTTTATTTCAGTTTATAAATCATCATCCAAGTAAATCTTAATGATCCCCCGAAATACAAAGATTTGATGTCACATAAAGTAGGTTAAATATTTTTACAAGCCTGAATTCTTTGAGTTAATAAACTCAAACGATTTAAGGCATTCGGTTTCCAGTTTGAGTTGAACTAATTCACTGGGTTTTATAGTGTACAGTAAAATCAAGTTTAAAGCAACCATGCTCATTTCAGAACATTCAAGATAAATTATAGAATTGGTGCAAGACTTTTATTTAATACTGATACCTTTATATGAACTACATAAACAAACAAGACCATCAGTGAGAATTATTAGTTACTTCTATATAGTTAATTTATTAATTAATTAATCAATTACATGTGGCAGTAGAAGCACTACTAGTTTTGTCCACAGAGGCTGCTAGAATCAACACAAAATTAAAATTTCTTATAGGGGCTTTAAGTATTATCAGAATAAAATAAATAAATTGTGCAGTAAAATGTTCCCTGTCAGTGTTCTACTATCATAGATGATGTTTTTTGGTTTAATATTACTGCTGCATTAATGTGTATGTTTCATTTTACTGCTGTAGATGTTTGAGGTTGATCTCATTTTAACTTCTTTTTATACTGTTGGCTAGTTTACTCTACACTCTCAAACTCGTGAACAATGTGAAAAGTACTAACAACAGCCACTGTTTGTCCATTCTGGGATACTGTAGAAACATGATGGTTCTAAATGGCGGATTCAATGGGAGGTGACCCACAGTGGATTTAAACGGCTCATTCTAAGGTAACGAAAACATAAAGTTTCCTATATTCAGGTGATTGTACACTAATTAAAACATACCTATGAATATTATATTCCATTTCTGACATTAGATCCTCCTGAATGTTACACACTGGACCAAAAGAAAGCAAGCCTATATTTTTTTATCAAGTTAAAAGGGACAGTGCCAAAGGTGGAAAAACTTTTTGAAATGACTGTTGTTGAAATGACAGCAAAATTTACTCAGCTCAGATTTTAGACCTGCTAACTGGAATGGAAAATAAGACTATTTTCATTACTGGAAAAAGACACAAAAAGGAACTGTTGACCCATAAAAACACAGTATGCATGACCTGTATAATTTTTCACCAGAAACCCAGAACACCAAGAAACACATTGCCAGAAGGGACTTTAAGATGTCAAACACGAAATTGAACTGTATTCAAGATTTCATAATTTCACACATTTTAAGAGTTTGTGTATGTGTTCCTGACCGTATACCCATTACCTCTTACCACAACACACCACTGTTGCAACTCTGAGACAGTAACTTGTCTCCTACCTGTACACTCCAGGCGGCGCCTGTGGGATGATAAAGCTTTTCTCCAGGTCACGGAGTACATCATTCAGCATTCGCACGTGGGAGGGGTCGCGCTCTTTCGGGTCATTTGCCGGCCGCATGGTTTCTGACTGGAAGAAAGCTGCGTGCTCTCTCAGGGAGGAGGCTGAGGACAGCAGGGGCTGAGATACCATGCTCCTCTCTAGGCACATACACAGGGAGATACAGAGACAGAGGAACAGAGACATGAAAAAACTGACCTTAACTTTGAGGTTACTGTCTGTTCCAGAAAAAGTAGCTGACTTAAATCTATAAGCACTGGGTAAAAGTACAAAACAAAACTATATGTAGAAAACATAAATTACAAGGAAGAAGCGGTGGTTTCAAGTTGAAGCTCATTGTGGTTTTAACAAATAAACCAATATCTCTGTGACACACAAAACCTGTGTAATGCTTTGAAGGGTATTTGGGGACTGGCTGTATAAAGGTCCACCTCACAAAAACACAATGTGTCAGGGTGAATACAAACTCCCTTTTTAACAGTAAACTAAAGATGATGCATGTTTTGGGTGTTTATCATTCTATTCCTATAAATTGGACTTTGATACTTCCCGACAGTATCCCAATATAATGGGAATTAAACAGCTGCCTATCTTTTGGCGTAGACAAACACCCAATTGACTCTTCCTAAGTCTCTCCCTTTTTGCTCTGTCCTCCAATAACAGCTGAGCAAGCCTCGGTCAGAATGTCGGTCAACTCCTCCTCTCCTGTACTTCCATAAGCCATGCACTAGGCTGTTGAAAAGACGCAACATATAGTCACATCTTGAACTAGCTAAACATTAACATACTAGCTAACAAATGATGAAAAGCATAGCACATGACATATGTAAGTACAGGAGAGGAGGAAGTTCCCCGAGCTTCTGACTGAGGCTTGCTCAGCTGTTATTGGAGCACAGAGCACAAACAAGTTAACTCAGGACATAATTTAAAGCTTTCCTCCCTTGTCTCTCTTTAAACCCCCAAACCACCATACACTCGATACACTAAATTAAACAGACCCTCTACTCCTTTCTTACCTCTAACTGAAACTCAATTTACTCCACCAGCCACACACACACACACACACACACACACACACACACACACACACACACACACGACTATCCTCATTAGCCTGTCAACACAAAGCTGGCTTGTTATACAGTACATTTGGCACTGCTAATCAATTATCTCACATTTACAGTTAATTGGCCCATGTATTCTTGGCTCTATGAAATGATATCTGGCTGGATCCAATGGGCCTGTGTTGGAACGGCGGTTGTGTTGTTGTCTGCATGAGGACAAAGGTTCATGTTCAGGTGTTCAGCTCTAATTGTTTTACATTCAGTTTGTCAGAAATGGATGCTTTTACAGTACACAAACACAATAATGCCACTGTTTTCAATTCTGCAGGTCAATAAATACTCTACCGCATTTACAATATGTGAAAAGGTATTTGTCCATTGTGAGGCATTGCCCATCAAGTCTTCAACTGCTGTGCTGTGACACTGGATCCTTTCTTAATATTTAAATATAAATGTGTCAACTGGATTTATGAGTGCAGAACAAATTTAGCCACTCACTGGAAGATTATTGTCACACCTACATCATGTCACACATAGGCGGTGCTATCAAATGGCAGTGGTGGAACAGTTTGAAATCCCTATTAAGATTAAAATTGTTTTTTTATCTGACCCAGGTTTAAAGTAGGCTGTAACTACACCTCTGTAATGAAAACACACAGGAAATTGTTGGCAGGCATGTAGAGACCAACTCCTTGTCTGCTATGTAGGGCAGCTGATAGGGCACTGCATTACATTTTCCCCACTGCAAGGACACCCTAGAGGACACTTTATCTTGTTTTATCTACCATACGGACATCCAAGAGGGCACTTTTGCAGCTTTTTTTTTGGACACCATTGTTAAATGGTCATTAAAACATTATTGGTACACACAGATACTGGATTGCTGGTGTGTTTAGTTATGCGGAAAAAAGGTCAAATTGCTCCTTTAACAGTGATTCTTGTCTGTCTTTTTACTATTTGGTATTGGTATAAAGGTGGCGATAGTCATCATATTTTTCTCGCTCTCTCCTCATCTGCTACTTTGTGTTAAAAAAAGTATGTCTGCTTACATCTGTAATGTAAGTAACATAACTTGCATAACGTAAGTTAAGAAAGACGTCAGCGTTTACCTTTGAACAGTGGTCTCCATGGTGAAATTCCTGTTTGTTTGACCCAACCACACACACACTTTATGGCTTTTCATGCTACATCACCCAACTTCAATGGCAAGACAAAACATTGCACTAGACGGGAAAGAAATGACACCAGAAGCATACCTACAGTGACACTGTTTGAAGTATAGGGCCACATTTTAAATCTTGGGAGTGAGAGAGAGCTGGGAAACGAAAATAATGAATAGAAAAAAGAAGAGCAGTAGACTAGGTAAGACTATTAATAGGTGTGAAAGGTTTATGTGCACAAGAATTGCACTTTTTGTCAGGTTAGGGATTGTACATTTGTTTAGGATTGGTGTAGAAAGGGCTCTCTCCATAGTTTATTTGACTTTGAGAATATGAAGAGTCGTTACTTGAATCAAAAAGAGACTGTAAACTATTAACATGTAAGATACTGGTCTTAAACAACAGACCTTGGTGTGTGTTTGTGCCTCTTTGGATCAGAGCGTGTCACCTCAGGTTGGGAACAGACTGTGACTCATCGGAGAGTAGAGGGGAAGAGAGTGGGGACAAAAATAGACAAAGGGAACTGTTCTCTCCTACAAATTTAAATGGTTCTGGCTCCTCGCAGCCAGCTGGGACTCATGAAATATTGTTTGATTGCTGTAATCCATCACATCTTTTGACACACAGGGACGTGTGTGAGTGTATTTGTTTTGGGGGATACAGTTGGGACTTGGCCTCCTGCGATAACAGTGGCAGAGAGAAGAGAGAAAGCTTTAGGGTGATGTTTTTTATTCGATGGAATATTTTTACTTTCAAGAACACCACCATATACAGATGTTTCTGAATGTTGGCGTTGGGTGTCGTGCAGGTTGAATTGCTCCTTTCTTCAGTCCGGTCCCTTTTGGAACCTCGGTCAACTTTCTCCTTTCCTGTAGCCTACAGATAGGCTATGTGCTAGGCTCTTCTGCTGTTCATTTAAAGGTCCAGTGTGTAACATTTAGGATGATTTATTGTCAGAAATGGAATATAATATTCATATAGGTATGTTTTCATTAGAGTATAATCACCTGAAAATAAGAATCGTTGCTTTTTTTAAACCTTGAAGTTAGTTGTTTTTATCTATCGACGGTTTACCTTCCATGGAGGCTGCATGTTGAAGCACCATGTTTCTACAGTAGTCCAGAATGGACAAACCCTGGCTTGTGTATAGAGCCTTTTGCGGCCACCGTAGTTTCTCCTATCTGCAACTACACCGCTAGATACCACTACATCCATCCATCCTGGTCCCTTATGTTTTTATTATGCATGAAATGAAACCTTTTCCTACAGTTCTGAGAAAGAGACCAGGGGCCAGATGCATAACAAATATAAGTCAATGTGACTCACGTGCACCAGATACACAGCTGTGCTATTTATAGCATATACAGTATCAATAATTCATGAATCATAAGATGTAAATTATCATAGAGTACTGATGTTGTATCTCAATCATCATCATCAAATGTCTGGGAGGTAATCAGTAATGTAGTAGGCTGTAGCTCAACACTGAAATACACAAAGTGCTTAACAATTAAGAATCACATAAAAAGGCCACAGGAAAATGATGAGAAAAGAAAATGCAAAAAGCTAAATATATAAAAAAGAATATTAAAAGCAAGCACACAAGCCTAGAAATAAAAGCGTATAATCTTAGCCCAGTTTAAATGTCTGTGTATACTCATGAACACATTGTGAAATTCACTAACAACTTGAAAGAATAACGCTGCATATTAGATTCTGCCTCTCACCTCATATTTCCATTTCCACAAATCTCACTGAACTCCCTCCAGAAATGCATGTGTTTGCTTTTTTTGAAGTATGCGTGACTGCATGTTCTTATTTTCTAAGTAAGAATTTATGTGTGGGAAATAGGGAATATGTGGTGCATACTCATCCGGCCCCAGGACCTTTCTTTGTAGCTATCTTTTTACAGTCGCTGATTTTGGGGAATTATGTGACAGTGGAAATGAAAAACATTTTGATTTGACATATCAACTGAACTTACATTGTTTGTAGGCAATGATTAGATATTGCTGTAACCCTTCATATGCTTGTTGCTGTCTGTAGATGGAGGTACAGTATGTAGTATCAGTGAATTAGAAAGCATTTTAATCAATCCCTGGTTCTAATCAATTTGGAACTGGTTCCGAGCAGAACCAACTATCCATATCTGTTCTTTTCAAAAATATTACATTTTGTGCTTTTGTTCCCTTAAAAGACCTGTCAATGTACTTGTAGTTTGATGTGTACTGTTATAATAGTGTGCTAATGGAATAATGTGGGTGAACTAATATAGAAAGTCACATAGGTGGCATCTCAGCATGGGCTGAATGAGAGGGGACGTGAGGAAATATCCTTGACTAACACAAAAAGACCAGGACAGAGATTCTGCACCTTAAGGCCTTCGTACTGTAAGGCAACAGTCCCTGCACTCTATCAGCTTTTCATGTACAGTAAAGTGGAATTTAATGATGTTTTTCAGCTGATGAGTGTGGAACTGATAGCACAGAGTAGTTAATACTTCAGGTCCAGGTTATTTGAGGATATAAAATAGTTTAGTAAAAGGAAATGGTGAATTATTATTATTATTCCTTTTGTTCATACTGCTGGCTGTTATGTCCTCGGTGATCACTGATTGGACAGTCATAATTGAACCACCATCATATTTAACTTCACTGATTTGTGTTCATGCAAGTACTTCAAAATGTGTTCAAAGAAAAGTGTTAATTGAAGTCAAGGTCAGGCTACATGTTTTAGAAATCTTTTAGGAAACATGCCTCTTCTATTTACCATATAACTGGACAAATGTACATAGAGTAGGGAATCTATTACAAATGGGGAAAAAATCAAAAGAAATTAATTAAAAACTAACTGCAACATTTAAAGATTTAAAGTTGTAAGACGATCCTGCAGTGTCAAATGTAGTTTGGTGTTTTA